ATCTTTAAATCTAAAGTTTAGATACTTTAAGAATCTGAAAATTGGCAAATTAAGAAATTTTCATGAAAAAAAATACTTATCATTTTTAACTGGATTTTCAAAGGAAAAATCAGTTATTGATTTTAGGGATGTATGGTGGGCAGGCGGGCAGGCAGCTGCAAAGCAGTGTCCGTTCATTAACATGAAAAATTGCTCGCCTGTAATTTTTTGCTTAAATCTTTCATCAATGATTATTTTTGCTTTTCTTCCATTTTAGCCATAGTGGCTATGTTTCTTGACAAGTTTGGCTGAAATTGAATCAGCAGTTTCAAAGGAGAAGATTTTTTAAATTAAGCAAACTAGATACAAATTTAGAAAAATTGTTTTTATAGGCAATAACTCCTTAAAGGGTCTATTGACAATTTTGGTCATATAAAAACTTATTTGTAGATCTTACTTTGCTGAACATTTTTGCTGTTTACAGTTTATCTTTATCTATAATAATATTCAAGATAATAACTGAAAACTGCAAAATTTCCTTAAAATCATCAATTCAGGGGCAATAACCTAAAAATCAGATACCCGATTTGGCTAATAATTTCAGGGCAGGTAGATCTTGACCTAATGAATACTTTATCTTCTTGTCTGATTTGCTCTAAATGCTTTAGTTTTAGAGATATAAGTCAAAAACTACATTTTACCCTATGTTCTATTTTTAGCCATGGCGGCCATGTTTTCTGTAGAAACAGAAAATAAAACACAAACTTTATTCTAAATATCCTAAGGATCATTCAGCTTAAGTTTAGTCTAATATGGTTCAGTAGTTTCAGAGGAGAAAATTTTTAAAGTTAGAAAACACGATAATCAAATTGTGTAAAATTGTCTTTAAAGGGCAATAACTCCTTAAGGGGTCAATTGACAATTTTGTTCATATCTTATTTGTAGATCTTACTTTGCTGAACATTTTTGCAGATTACGGTTTATCTTTATCTATAATAATATTCAAGATAATAACCAATAAAATGCTTCGCTGGGCGCAGCTTGATACGACCGCAGAGGTCGAACCCTGAACAGTTGGGGCAAGTATGGACACAAAATTCAAGCTTGATACAGCTCTGAATTTGGATTGTGATTAAATATTTGACACAGCATAGGTTTCTGACACAGAAAGAATGTGGTCTAAGAATTTCAATTTTTTTAATTTATCTATTATGGTCCAATGCCCAAAATCAAAATACATGGTTAGATTCAGCATATCAAAGAACCCCATATATTCAATTTTTGTTGAAATCAAACAAAGTTTAATTTTGGACCCCAACTTGGACAAACTTGAAAACTGGTCCCATAATCAAAAATCTAAACACATGTTTAGATTCAGCATATCAAAGTACCCCAAGAATTCAATTTTTGTTAAAATCAAACTAAGTTTAATTTTGGACCCTTTGGACCTTAATGTAGACCAATTTAAAAAACGGGACCCAAAATTAAAAATCTAAAAACACGGTTAGATTTGGCATATCAAAGAACCCCAATAATTCAATTTTTGATGAAATCAAACAAAGTTTAATGTTGGACCCTTTTGACCTCAATATGAACCAATTTGATAGCGGGCCCACAAAATAAAAAATCTAAATACATGGTAAGATTCAGCATATCAAAGAACCCCATATATTCAATTTTTGTTGAAATCAAACAAAGTTTAATTTTGGACCCCAATTTGGACCAACTTGAAAACTGGGCCAAAAATCTAAAATCTAAATACATGTTTAGATTCAGCATATCAAAGAACCCCATATATTCAATTTTTGTTGAAATCAAACAAAGTTTAATTTAGGACCCCAACTTGGACCAACTTGAAAACTGGTCCCATAATAAAAAATCTGAACACATGTTTAGATTCAGCATATCAAAGAACCCCAAAAATTCAATTTTTGTTAAAATCAAACTAAGTTTAATTTTGGACCCTTTGGACCTTAATGTAGACCAATTTAAAAAACGGGACCCAAAATTAAAAATCTAAATACACGGTTAGATTTGGCATATCAAAGAACCCCAATAATTAAATTTTTGATGAAATCAAACAAAGTTTAATTTTGGACCCTTTTGACCTCAATATGAACCAATTTGATAGCGGGCCCACAAATAAAAAATCTAAATACATGGTAAGATTCAGCATATCAAAGAACCCCATATATTCAATTTTTGTTGAAATCAAACAAAGTTTAATTTTGGACCCCAATTTGGACCAACTTGAAAACTGGGCCAAAAATCTAAAATTAAAATACATGTTTAGATTCAGCATATCAAAGAACCCCATATATTCAATTTTTGTTGAAATCAAACAAAGTTTAATTTTGGACCCCAACTTGGACCAACTTGAAAACTGGGCCCATAATCAAAAATCTAAACACATGTTTAGATTCAGCATATCAAAGAACCCCAAGAATTCAATTTTTGTTAAAATCAAACTAAGTTTAATTTTGGACCCTTTGGACCTTAATGTAGACCAATTTAAAAACGGGACCCAAAATTAAAAATCTAAATACACGGTTAGATTTGGCATATCAAAGAACCCCAATAATTCAATTTTTGATGAAATCAAACAAAGTTTAATTTTGGACCCTTTTGACCTCAATATGAACCAATTTGATAGCGGGTCCACAAATAAAAAATCTAAATAGTTGGTTAGATTCAGCATATCAAAGAACCCCAAGAATTCAATTTTTGATGAAATCAAACAAAGTTTAATTTTGGACCCTTTTGACCTCAATGTGGACAAAGTTAATAATGGGGCCCAAAAATCAAAAATCTAAATACATGGTTAGATTCAGCATATCAAAGAACCCCATATATTCAATTTTTGTTGAAATCAAACAAAGTTTAATTTTGGACCCCGATTTGGACCAACTTGAAAACTGGGCCCATAATCAAAAATCTAAATACATGTTTAGATTCAGCATATCAAAGAACCCTAAAAATTCAATTTTTGTTAAAATCAAACTAAGTTTAATTTTGGACCCTTTTGACCTTAATGTAGACCAATTTGAAAACGGAACCAAAAATTAAGAATCTAAATACACGGTTAGATTCAGCATATCAAAGAACCCCAATAATTCAATTTTTGATGAAATCAAACAAAGTTAAATTTTGGACCCTTTGGACCTCAATGTGGACCAATTTAAAAACAGGGCCCAAAATCCAAAAACTTAATACTTGGTTAGATTCAGCATATTAAAGAACCCCAAGAATTCAAGAATAAAACCCCATTGAAATTGATCAAGAAATAAGCAATTTATACGAAGTATCTTCTTTTGCACAATACTGTGCAATTGAATATTTCTTGCTATTGTGCAATACTGTACAATTGACAATTTCTTGCTATTGCGCAATATTGTGCTATTGGATATTTCTTGCTATTGCGCAATACTGTGCAATTGAAGATTTCTTGCTATTGCGCAATACTGTGCAATTGAAGATTTCTTGCAATTGTGCAATACTGTGCAATTGAAAATTTCTTGCTATTGCACAATACTTATTATATAATAATTTACACATCCTGTTTGGTGTGTATCTCCTACCATATCATTATTATTTGCTTTTAAATATTAATCAGAAATAACCAACTTAAAATGGAAAATTTTAAAAGAAAAAAAAAAAAAGGAAAAAAAGAAAAAAAAAAAAAAAAAAAATCCCCCCCCCCCCAATTTTTTGAACCCCCTTATGATTCATCACCCCCAAACTCAATCCCAGCCTTCCCTTTGTGGTATGGTACCTTGTAGTACAATTTCAGAGAGATCCATACACTTGAACACAATTTATTGTCTGGAAACTAGAAAAATGCTTATTTTTGGCCCCTTTTTGGCCCCCTATTCCTAAACGTTTCGGGCAATTACCCACAAACTCAATTCCAGCTTTCCCTTTGTGATATGGAACCTTGTAGTACAATTTCAGAAATATCCAAACACTTACACACAAGTTATTGTCATGAAACTAGAAAAATGCTTGTTTTTTGCCCCTTTTTTGGCCCCTTATTCCTAAATTTTGAGGCAATTACCCCCAAAATCAATTACAGCCTTCCCTTTGTGATATGGAACCTTGTGGTACAATGTCAGAGAGATCCATACACTTACACACAAGTTATTGTTTGGAAGTTACAAAAATGCTTATTTTTGGTCCCTTTTTGGCCCCTAATTCCTTAACTGTTGGTACCATAACCCCCAAAATCAATCCCCACCTTCCTTTCGTGGTATTGAACCTTATGGTAAAATTTCATGGAGATCCATTCACTTAAACTAAAGTTAGAGTGCGAAAACCAATGTGTCTTCGGACGACGCCGGACGACGCCGACGACGACGACGACGACGACGACGCCAACGTCATACCAATATACGACCAAAAAATTTTCAATTTTTGCGGTCGTATAAAAACTGCAAAATTTCCTTAAAATTACCAATTTAGTGGCAGCAACCCAACAATGGGTTGTTAGATTCATCTGAAAATTTCAGGGCTGATAGAACTTGACCAAATAAACATTTTTAGCACCTGTCAGATTTGCTCTAAATGCTTTAGTTTTTGAGATATAAGCCAAAAACTGCATTTTACCCTATGTTCTATTTTTAGCCATGGCGGCCATGTTTTTTGTTGAACCACAAAATAAAACAAAAACTTTATTCTAGATACCCTAAGAATCATTCAGCTTAAGTTTGGTTGGAATTGGTTCAGTAGTTTCAGAGGAGAAGATGTTTGAAATAGTTCACACCGCACGGACGACGATGACGGACGCCAAGTGATGGCAAAAGCTCACATTTCCTTTGGAAAAGTGAGCTAAAAATACTATACTTTATGCAATGATTGAACAATGAAACCATGAACTAGCGAAAATAGTTTACACCATCGCCATTGGATGAACATACTTTTGTCTCTTATTCTTGATCTGCATTCATTACAGACAAGAAAGACCTTGTTCATTTAACCTTTTTGATGCAAAAAAAATGAAAATAAAACAATGGCTTAAAGACATGTCTAAATGCTTGATTTTTAATAATTTAAAATTCCGTTTACATTTTTTCAAATAAATGTATATTCATATTGCACACGAAAAGAATTACACCAAGAAAAGTTTATGCCATGCGTTTTCTATCTGCCATCTGACGTCTGTTTCCTCCCTTGTGCTGCTCCTTCCATCTCCTATTTTGTGAAACTTTGGCATCCTGACCTTGACCTTTTGGTTTCCCAACTACATCACGTTTTCTTTCAGCACCATCTGGATTTGATGGTCTATTTTGACCACGGTGATGACCTCGACCTCCTCTTCTCTGTGCCTGCCATCGAGCACGCTCCTCAGCTCTTTGTCTCAAAAGTGCTGGATTCTGACAAAACTCATCTCTAATTGGTTTATCACTGTCTGACTCCTATAAAGAGAAATACAACCATCACTGAAAAATTCACTTGGAAAATTCAAGTTATTATATTGTAGAGAAAAAATCTATATATATATATATATTTTGAAAAACATTTATCAACAGACATTCTTTGCAACACTTTTTCTACCTCTAGAAGTTTTTCTGAGATATTGGCATACGTTATACTGTAAGCAAGGGCTATAACTCAGGCTCAAGAAAATATTGTAAATAACAGCAAGTAATTTATTATTATCTAATATCATATGCTTATGATTAATTTGTAACCTGCATTTTGTATAATATATTTCTCAAGATGAATATAGATGTCATTTGGTTTTTTTTTGCAACCATTGTTGCAGTTTGATTGAAATATTATCTCCTTTTATCAATATTGCAAGAGAGATTAATCATGTTAATATACAAAACATTGAAAATAATTTGTAAAAAAGATAATAATTAAGCAAATCATGAGTTGACTTTATCATTTGTAACTACATAAATCAGATGCATCCATGTGTTTACATGTATTCAAAATTTTAAGCAATACCTTATCAATGATATCTTTTGTTAGGTTTATTCCTTTACTATTGTACATATATGACAAGAAAGTAAATGCACTTCATACCATTTCATGCAACTTTTTGATCAGCTGTAATGTTTACATTGGAAATGTCTACATGTAACAGAACAAACAATTATGTTTTTATACTGATGTAGTAAGGAATTTCCATCACATCATTAATTTGGCCAGAATATTTACTTAAAGATGTGAATATTGCCAACAACTATTTGTCCAACCCAATCCCTGCTGCACCTATTTTAGAGCAATTTTCTATGTCCTATGGCTGCAAGCAGCAAAAATCCTTCAACTCGACAAAGCACACACTTGACCAACAACTTCTTATAATATGGCTGTTAAAAAATCATCATCAATTGATTTAGGTATACAATACAATAGAAAAAGTGTAGAAAACTGCTATTTCTAAGCAATTTTATTTGTCCAAAGGCTACAACTTCTGCATAACTTATTCAAAGAAACAAAACTCAAACTCCATCTGTGAGTACTTATTGTAGGACTATAATTTAATTAATTGATTGATTCATGCAATACAGAAAAATTGTGGAAAACTGAGATTTTCAAGCAATTTTCTATTACTATGGGCCACAACTGAAACAAAAATAACTTGCAACAGAAATGCAACTTTTTATGATATAACTAAATGCCAAATACCTGATCACTTGATTCAGATATTATACAGAAAAAAGTGTGGGAAATAAGAATTTCAAGCAAATTTTTACTTCAAAAGACCACAACTTGATCTGTAACTTCTTATGCTATAACTTTATATAAATTTTTGATCAATTGCTTCAGGCATTCCAAAACTAGAGGCTCTAAAGAGCCTGTGTCGCTCACCTTGGTATATGTGCATATTAAACAAAGGACAAAGATGGATTCATGACAAAATTGTGTTTTGGTGATGGTGATGTGTTTGTAGATCTTACTTTACTGAACTTTCTTGCTGCTTACAATTATCTCTATCTATAATGAACTTGGCCCAGTAGTTACAGTGGAAAATATTTTGTAAAAAATTTACAAAAATTTACAAAATTTATGAAAAAATTGTAAATAAAATGCTTCGCTGGGCGCAGCTTTATACGACCGCAGAGGTCGAACCCTGAACAGTTGGGGCAAGTATGGACACAACATTCAAGCTTGATACAGCTCTGAATTTGGATTGTGATTAAATATTTGACACAGCATAGGTTTCTGACACAGAAAGAATGTGGTCTAAGAACTTCAATTTTTTTAATTTACCTATTATAGTCCAATGTCCAAAATCAAAATAAAGAACCCCATATATTCAATTTTTGTTGAAATCAAACAAAGTTTAATTTTGGACCCCAACTTGGACAAACTTGAAAACTGGTCCCATAATCAAAAATCTAAACACATGTTTAGATTCAGCATATCAAAGTACCCCAAGAAATTCAATTTTTGTTAAAATCAAACTAAGTTTAATTTTGGACCCTTTGGACCTTAATGTAGACCAATTTAAAAAACGGGACCCAAAATTAAAAATCTAAAAACACGGTTAGATTTGGCATATCAAAGAACCCCAATAATTCAATTTTTGATGAAATCAAACAAAGTTTAATTTTGGACCCTTTTCACCTCAATATGAACCAATTTGATAGCGGGCCCACAAAATAAAAAATCTATATACATGGTAAGATTCAGCATATCAAAGAACCCCATATATTCAATTTTTGTTGAAATCAAACAAAGTTTAATTTTGGACCCCAATTTGGACCAACTTGAAAACTGGGCCAAAAATCTAAAATCTAAATACATGTTTAGATTCAGCATATCAAAGAACCCCATATATTCAATTTTTGTTGAAATCAAACAAAGTTTAATTTTGGACCCCAATTTGAACCAACTTGAAAACTGGGCCAAAAATCTAAAATCTAAATACATGTTTAGATTCAGCATATCAAAGAACCCCATATATTCAATTTTTGTTGAAATTTAACAAAGTTTAATTTTGGACCCCAACTTGGACCAACTTGAAAACTGGTCCCATAATCAAAAATCTAAACACATGTTTAGATTCAGCATATCAAAGTACCCCAAGAATTCAATTTTTGTTAAAATCAAACTAAGTTTAATTTTGGACCCTTTGGACCTTAATGTAGACCAATTTAAAAAACGGGACCCAAAATTAAAAATCTAAATACACGGTTAGATTTGGCATATCAAAGAACCCCAATAATTAAATATTTAATGAAATCGAACAAAGTTTAATTTTGGACCCTTTTGACCTCAATATGAACCAATTTGATAGCGGGCCCACAAATAAAAAAATCTAAATACATGGTAAGATTCAGCATATCAAAGAACCCCATATATTCAATTTTTGTTGAAATCAAACAAAGTTTAATTTTGGACCCCAATTTGGACCAACTTGAAAACTGGGCCAAAAATCTAAAATCTAAATACATGTTTAGATTCAGCATATCAAAGAACCCCATATATTCAATTTTTGTTGAAATTTAACAAAGTTTAATTTTGGACCCCAACTTGGACCAACTTGAAAACTGGTCCCATAATCAAAAATCTAAACACATGTTTAGATTCAGCATATCAAAGTACCCCAAGAATTCAATTTTTGTTAAAATCAAACTAAGTTTAATTTTGGACCCTTTGGACCTTAATGTAGACCAATTTAAAAAACGGGACCCAAAATTAAAAATCTAAATACACGGTTAGATTTGGCATATCAAAGAACCCCAATAATTAAATATTTAATGAAATCGAACAAAGTTTAATTTTGGACCCTTTTGACCTCAATATGAACCAATTTGATAGCGGGCCCACAAATAAAAAAATCTAAATACATGGTAAGATTCAGCATATCAAAGAACCCCATATATTCAATTTTTGTTGAAATCAAACAAAGTTTAATTTTGGACCCCAATTTGGACCAACTTGAAAACTGGGCCAAAAATCTAAAATCTAAATACATGTTTAGATTCAGCATATCAAAGAACCCCATATATTCAATTTTTGTTGAAATCAAACAAAGTTTAATTTTGGACCCCAACTTGGACCAACTTGAAAACTGGTCCCATAATCAAAATCTAAACACATGTTTAGATTCAGCATATCAAAGTACCCCAAGAATTCAATTTTTGTTAAAATCAAACTAAGTTTAATTTTGGACCCTTTGGACCTTAATGTAGACCAATTTAAAAACGGGACCCAAAATTAAAAATCTAAATACACGGTTAGATTTGGCATATCAAAGAACCCCAATAATTCAATTTTTGATGAAATCAAACAAAGTTTAATTTTGGACCCTTTTGACCTCAATATGAACCAATTTGATAGCGGGTCCACAAATAAAAAAATCTAAATACATGGTAAGATTCAGCATATCAAAGAACCCCATATATTCAATTTTTGTTGAAATCAAACAAAGTTTAATTTTGGACCCCAATTTGGACCAACTTGAAAACTGGGCCACAAATCTAAAATCTAAATACATGTTTAGATTCAGCATATCAAAGAACCCCATATATTCAATTTTTGTTGAAATCAAACAAAGTTTAATTTTGGACCCCAACTTGGACCAACTTGAAAACTGGGCCCATAATCAAAAATCTAAACACATGTTTAGATTCAGCATATCAAAGAACCCCAAGAATTCAATTTTTGTTAAAATCAAACTAAGTTTAATTTTGGACCCTTTGGACCTTAATGTAGACCAATTTAAAAACGGGACCCAAAATTAAAAATCTAAATACACGGTTAGATTTGGCATATCAAAGAACCCCAATAATTCAATTTTTGATGAAATCAAACAAAGTTTAATTTTGGACCCTTTTCACCTCAATATGAACTAATTTGATAGCGGGTCCACAAAATAAAAAATCTATATACATGGTAAGATTCAGCATATCAAAGAACCCCATATATTCAATTTTTGTTGAAATCAAACAAAGTTTAATTTTGGACCCCAATTTGGACCAACTTGAAAACTGGGCCAAAAATCTAAAATCTAAATACATGTTTAGATTCAGCATATCAAAGAACCCCATATATTCAATTTTTGTTGAAATCAAACAAAGTTTAATTTTGGACCCCAATTTGGACCAACTTGAAAACTGGGCCAAAAATCTAAAATCTAAATACATGTTTAGATTCAGCATATCAAAGAACCCCATATATTCAATTTTTGTTGAAATTTAACAAAGTTTAATTTTGGACCCCAACTTGGACCAACTTGAAAACTGGTCCCATAATCAAAAATCTAAACACATGTTTAGATTCAGAATATCAAAGTACCCCAAGAATTCAATTTTTGTTAAAATCAAACTAAGTTTAATTTTGGACCCTTTGGACCTTAATGTAGACCAATTTAAAAAACGGGACCCAAAATTAAAAATCTAAATACACGGTTAGATTTGGCATATCAAAGAACCCCAATAATTAAATATTTAATGAAATCGAACAAAGTTTAATTTTGGACCCTTTTGACCTCAATATGAACCAATTTGATAGCGGGCCCACAAATAAAAAAATCTAAATACATGGTAAGATTCAGCATATCAAAGAACCCCATATATTCAATTTTTGTTGAAATCAAACAAAGTTTAATTTTGGACCCCAATTTGGACCAACTTGAAAACTGGGCCAAAAATCTAAAATCTAAATACATGTTTAGATTCAGCATATCAAAGAACCCCATATATTCAATTTTTGTTGAAATTTAACAAAGTTTAATTTTGGACCCCAACTTGGACCAACTTGAAAACTGGTCCCATAATCAAAAATCTAAACACATGTTTAGATTCAGCATATCAAAGTACCCCAAGAATTCAATTTTTGTTAAAATCAAACTAAGTTTAATTTTGGACCCTTTGGACCTTAATGTAGACCAATTTAAAAAACGGGACCCAAAATTAAAAATCTAAATACACGGTTAGATTTGGCATATCAAAGAACCCCAATAATTAAATATTTAATGAAATCGAACAAAGTTTAATTTTGGACCCTTTTGACCTCAATATGAACCAATTTGATAGCGGGCCCACAAATAAAAAAATCTAAATACATGGTAAGATTCAGCATATCAAAGAACCCCATATATTCAATTTTTGTTGAAATCAAACAAAGTTTAATTTTGGACCCCAATTTGGACCAACTTGAAAACTGGGCCAAAAATCTAAAATCTAAATACATGTTTAGATTCAGCATATCAAAGAACCCCATATATTCAATTTTTGTTGAAATCAAACAAAGTTTAATTTTGGACCCCAACTTGGACCAACTTGAAAACTGGTCCCATAATCAAAAATCTAAACACATGTTTAGATTCAGCATATCAAAGTACCCCAAGAATTCAATTTTTGTTAAAATCAAACTAAGTTTAATTTTGGACCCTTTGGACCTTAATGTAGACCAATTTAAAAAACGGGACCCAAAATTAAAAATCTAAATACACGGTTAGATTTGGCATATCAAAGAACCCCAATAATTAAATATTTAATGAAATCGAACAAAGTTTAATTTTGGACCCTTTTGACCTCAATATGAACCAATTTGATAGCGGGCCCACAAATAAAAAAATCTAAATACATGGTAAGATTCAGCATATCAAAGAACCCCATATATTCAATTTTTGTTGAAATCAAACAAAGTTTAATTTTGGACCCCAATTTGGACCAACTTGAAAACTGGGCCAAAAATCTAAAATCTAAATACATGTTTAGATTCAGCATATCAAAGAACCCCATATATTCAATTTTTGTTGAAATCAAACAAAGTTTAATTTTGGACCCCAACTTGGACCAACTTGAAAACTGGTCCCATAATCAAAATCTAAACACATGTTTAGATTCAGCATATCAAAGTACCCCAAGAATTCAATTTTTGTTAAAATCAAACTAAGTTTAATTTTGGACCCTTTGGACCTTAATGTAGACCAATTTAAAAACGGGACCCAAAATTAAAAATCTAAATACACGGTTAGATTTGGCATATCAAAGAACCCCAATAATTCAATTTTTGATGAAATCAAACAAAGTTTAATTTTGGACCCTTTTGACCTCAATATGAACCAATTTGATAGCGGGTCCACAAATAAAAAAATCTAAATACATGGTAAGATTCAGCATATCAAAGAACCCCATATATTCAATTTTTGTTGAAATCAAACAAAGTTTAATTTTGGACCCCAATTTGGACCAACTTGAAAACTGGGCCACAAATCTAAAATCTAAATACATGTTTAGATTCAGCATATCAAAGAACCCCATATATTCAATTTTTGTTGAAATCAAACAAAGTTTAATTTTGGACCCCAACTTGGACCAACTTGAAAACTGGGCCCATAATCAAAAATCTAAACACATGTTTAGATTCAGCATATCAAAGAACCCCAAGAATTCAATTTTTGTTAAAATCAAACTAAGTTTAATTTTGGACCCTTTGGACCTTAATGTAGACCAATTTAAAAACGGGACCCAAAATTAAAAATCTAAATACACGGTTAGATTTGGCATATCAAAGAACCCCAATAATTCAATTTTTGATGAAATCAAACAAAGTTTAATTTTGGACCCTTTTCACCTCAATATGAACTAATTTGATAGCGGGTCCACAAAATAAAAAATCTATATACATGGTAAGATTCAGCATATCAAAGAACCCCATATATTCAATTTTTGTTGAAATCAAACAAAGTTTAATTTTGGACCCCAATTTGGACCAACTTGAAAACTGGGCCAAAAATCTAAAATCTAAATACATGTTTAGATTCAGCATATCAAAGAACCCCATATATTCAATTTTTGTTGAAATCAAACAAAGTTTAATTTTGGACCCCAATTTGGACCAACTTGAAAACTGGGCCAAAAATCTAAAATCTAAATACATGTTTAGATTCAGCATATCAAAGAACCCCATATATTCAATTTTTGTTGAAATTTAACAAAGTTTAATTTTGGACCCCAACTTGGACCAACTTGAAAACTGGTCCCATAATCAAAAATCTAAACACATGTTTAGATTCAGCATATCAAAGTACCCCAAGAATTCAATTTTTGTTAAAATCAAACTAAGTTTAATTTTGGACCCTTTGGACCTTAATGTAGACCAATTTAAAAAACGGGACCCAAAATTAAAAATCTAAATACACGGTTAGATTTGGCATATCAAAGAACCCCAATAATTAAATATTTAATGAAATCGAACAAAGTTTAATTTTGGACCCTTTTGACCTCAATATGAACCAATTTGATAGCGGGCCCACAAATAAAAAAATCTAAATACATGGTAAGATTCAGCATATCAAAGAACCCCATATATTCAATTTTTGTTGAAATCAAACAAAGTTTAATTTTGGACCCCAATTTGGACCAACTTGAAAACTGGGCCAAAAATCTAAAATCTAAATACATGTTTAGATTCAGCATATCAAAGAACCCCATATATTCAATTTTTGTTGAAATTTAACAAAGTTTAATTTTGGACCCCAACTTGGACCAACTTGAAAACTGGTCCCATAATCAAAAATCTAAACACATGTTTAGATTCAGCATATCAAAGTACCCCAAGAATTCAATTTTTGTTAAAATCAAACTAAGTTTAATTTTGGACCCTTTGGACCTTAATGTAGACCAATTTAAAAAACGGGACCCAAAATTAAAAATCTAAATACACGGTTAGATTTGGCATATCAAAGAACCCCAATAATTAAATATTTAATGAAATCGAACAAAGTTTAATTTTGGACCCTTTTGACCTCAATATGAACCAATTTGATAGCGGGCCCACAAATAAAAAAATCTAAATACATGGTAAGATTCAGCATATCAAAGAACCCCATATATTCAATTTTTGTTGAAATCAAACAAAGTTTAATTTTGGACCCCAATTTGGAACAACTTGAAAACTGGGCCAAAAATCTAAAATCTAAATACATGTTTAGATTCAGCATATCAAAGAACCCCATATATTCAATTTTTGTTGAAATCAAACAAAGTTTAATTTTGGACCCCAACTTGGACCAACTTGAAAACTGGTCCCATAATCAAAATCTAAACACATGTTTAGATTCAGCATATCAAAGTACCCCAAGAATTCAATTTTTGTTAAAATCAAACTAAGTTTAATTTTGGACCCTTTGGACCTTAATGTAGACCAATTTAAAAACGGGACCCAAAATTAAAAATCTAAATACACGGTTAGATTTGGCATATCAAAGAACCCCAATAATTCAATTTTTGATGAAATCAAACAAAGTTTAATTTTGGACCCTTTTGACCTCAATATGAACCAATTTGATAGCGGGTCCACAAATAAAAAAATCTAAATACATGGTAAGATTCAGCATATCAAAGAACCCCATATATTCAATTTTTGTTGAAATCAAACAAAGTTTAATTTTGGACCCCAATTTGGACCAACTTGAAAACTGGGCCACAAATCTAAAATCTAAATACATGTTTAGATTCAGCATATCAAAGAACCCCATATATTCAATTTTTGTTGAAATCAAACAAAGTTTAATTTTGGACCCCAACTTGGACCAACTTGAAAACTGGGCCCATAATCAAAAATCTAAATACATGTTTAGATTCAGCATATCAAAGAACCCCAAGAATTCAATTTTTGTTAAAATCAAACTAAGTTTAATTTTGGACCCTTTGGACCTTAATGTAGACCAATTTAAAAACGGGACCCAAAATTAAAAATCTAAATACACGGTTAGATTTGGCATATCAAAGAACCCCAATAATTCAATTTTTGATGAAATCAAACAAAGTTTAATTTTGGACCCTTTTCACCTCAATATGAACTAATTTGATAGCGGGTCCACAAATAAAAAATCTAAATACATGGTAAGATTCAGCATATCAAAGAACCCCAAGAATTCAATTTTTGATGAAATCAAACAAAGTTTAATTTTGGACCCTTTTGACCTCAATGTGGACAAAGTTGATAACGGGGCCCAAAAATCAAAAATCTAAATACATGGTTAGATTCAGCATATCAAAGAACCCGATATATTCAATTTTTGTTGAAATCAAACAAAGTTTAATTTTGGACCCCGATTTGGACCAACTTGAAAACGGGGCCCATAATCAAAAATCTAAATACATGTTTAGATTCAGCATATCAAAGAACCCTAAAAATTCAATTTTTGTTAAAATCAAACAAAGTTTAATTTTGGACCCTTTTGACCTTAATGTAGACCAATTTGAAAACGGAACCAAAAATTAAGAATCTAAATACACGGTTAGATTCGGCATATCAAAGAACCCCAATAATTCAATTTTTGATGAAATCAAACAAAGTTAAATTTTGGACCCTTTGGACCTCAATGTGGACCAATTTAAAAACGGGGCCCAAAATCCAAAAACTTAATACTTGGTTAGATTCAGCATATTAAAGAACCCCAAGAATTCAAGAATAAAACCCCATTGAAATTGATCAAGAAATAAACAATTTATACGAAGTATCTTCTTTTGCACAATACTGTGCAATTGAATATTTCTTGCTATTGTGCAATACTGTACAATTGACAATTTCTTGCTATTGCGCAATATTGTGCTATTGGATATTTCTTGCTATTGCGCAATACTGTGCAATTGAAGATTTCTTGCTATTGCGCAATACTGTGCAATTGAAGATTTCTTGCAATTGTGCAATACTGTGCAATTGAAAATTTCTTGCTATTGCACAATACTTATTATATAATAATTTACACATCCTGTTTGGTGTGTATCTCCTACCATATCATTATTATTTGCTTTTAAATATTAATCAGAAATAACCAACTTAAAATGGAAAATTTTAAAAGAAAAAAAAAAGGAAAAAAAGAAAAAAAAAGAAAAGAAAAAAATCCCCCCCCCAAATTTTTTGAACCCCCTTATGATTCATCACCCCCAAACTCAATCCCAGCCTTCCCTTTGTGGTATGGTACCTTGCAGTACAATTTCAGAGAGATCCATACACTTGAACACAAGTTATTGTCTGGAAACTAGAAAAATGCTTATTTTTGGCCCCTTTTTGGCCCCCTATTCCTAAACGTTTCGGGCAATTACCCACAAACTCAAACCCAGCTTGCCCTTTGTGATATGGAACCTTGTAGTACAATTTCAGAAATATCCAAACACTTACACACAAGTTATTGTCATGAAACTAGAAAAATGCTTGTTTTTTGCCCCTTTTTTGGCCCCTAATTCCTAAAATTTTGAGGCAATTACCCCCAAAATCAATTACAGCCTTCCCTTTGTGATATGGAACCTTGTGGTACAATGTCAGAGAGATCCATACACTTACACACAAGTTATTGTCTGGAAGTTACAAAAATGCTTATTTTTGGCCCCTTTTTGGCCCCTAATTCCTTAACTGTTGGTACCATAACCCCCAAAATCAATCCCAACCTCCTTTCGTGGTATTGAACCTTATGGTAAAATTTCATGGAGATCCATTCACTTAAACTAAAGTAAGAGTGCGAAAACCAATCTTCAACGACGATGACGACGACGACGCCAACATCATACCAATATACGACCAAAAAATTTTCAATTTTTGCGGTCGTATAAAAATGGACTATAAAGGGCAATAACTCCTTAAGGGGTCAATTGACAATTTTGGTCATGTTGACTTATTTGTAGATCTTACTTTGCTGAACATTATTGCTGTTTACAGTTTATCTCTATCTATAATAATATTCAAGATAATAACCAATAAATTGCTTCGCCGAGCGCAGCTGGATACAACCGCAGAGGTCCAACCCTGAACAGTTGGGGCAAAAAAGGACACAATATTCGCGCTTGATACAGGTCTGAATTTGGATTGTAATTCAACAGTTGACACATAATAGGTTTCTGACACAGAATAACTGTAGTCAAAGAACTTAGAATTGGTTATATGATTTGAATTTATATTCAATTTTTTGCTTTTGTGCAATACACTGTCCCTTTATGAACTGACCTCCCTCCCCCCAAAAAATTTTTTTTTACCCCCCCTCCTTTTATCCTTTAAAAAAAAAAACACATTTGAAGAAATTTTCTTTTTGATTTCTGAAATCTTGAGGAGAAAAAATTGTCCCCACCACCAATTTTTTTTTACCCCCGCCAATTTTTTTTACCCCCCCTTTTTTCCAAAAAAAATTCTTTCACTCAAGACATGGTCATAATCTCAATTCAAATTTCCAATGGAGTTTGCAACCATAATAACCCATTTAAATACATCATAAAAGTCTTAAAATAGAAAATGACATACATAATCATAGCTAAAATTAATTTACCTTAATCAGCATTTTTAAAATTATTAAAATATTAACTTCTAAAAATGAATTGACAGCTAATCACCTCAAGACAATACAATATTTCTTAATACATAATTTAAAAGCAGTGTAAGGGAGGTAATTCAAAGTTGTGCTTGAATTACCTCCCTTACACTGTGATTTGTACTTCAGTAATTTTCCATTAACCAGGACACCCTTGTTTTTTCTCACTTTTTTGCCCCTAATTCCTAAATGGTTTGAGCCATAACCCCCCAAAGCCAATCCTAACCATCCCTTTGTGGTATGGAACCTTGTGGTATAATTTCAGAGAGATCCATACCGTTCCACAAGTTATTGACTGGAAACTAGAAAAATACTTATTTGAGCCCCTTTCTGGCCCCTAATTCCTAAACTGTTGGGACCATAACCCCCAAAATCAATCCCAACCTTCCTTTTGTGGTTATAAACTTTGTGTTTATATTTCATAGATTTCTATTTACTAATACTAAAGTTATTGTCCAGAAACCAAAAGTCATCGGACGACGACGACGTGATACCAATAAATGACCGCAAAATTTTTTGCAGTTGTATATAAAATGCTCCGCAGGGCGCAGCTTGATACGACCGCAGAGGTCGAACCCTGAACAGTTGGGGGAAGTATGGACACAACATTCAAGCTTGATACAGCTTTGGATTTGGATTGTGATTAAATATTTGACACAGCATAGGTTTCTAACACAGATTGAATGTGGTCTAAGAACTTAAAAATTTTAAATTGGACATTCACCTATTATGGTCCAATATCCAAAATCTAAATACATGGTTAGATTCAGCATATCAAAGAACCCCAAGAATTCAATTTTTGATGAAATCAAACAAAGTTTAATTTCGGACCCTTTTGACCTCAATGTGGACAAAGTTGATAACGGGGCCCAAAAATCAAAAATCTAAATACATGGTTAGATTCAGCATATCAAAGAACCCCATATATTCAATTTTTGTTGAAATCAAACAAAGTTTAATTTTGGACCCCGATTTGGACCAACTTGAAAACTGGGCCCATAATCAAAAATCTAAATACATGTTTAGATTCAGCATATCAAAGAACCCTAAGAATTCAATTTTTGTTAAAATCAAACTAAGTTTAATTTTGGACCCTTTGGACCTTAATGTAGACCAATTTGAAAACGGAACCAAAAATTAAGAATCTAAATACACGGTTAGATTCGGCATATCAAAGAACCCCAATAATTCAATTTTTGATGAAATCAAACAAAGTTTAATTTTGGACCCTTTTGACCTCAATGTGGACAAAGTTGATAACGGGGCCCAAAAATCAAAAATCTAAATACATGGTAAGATTCAGCATATCAAAGTACCCCATATATTCAATTTTTGTTGAAATCAAACAAAGTTTAATTTTGGACCCCGATTTGGACCAACTTGAAAACTGGGCCCATAATCAAAAATCTAAATACATGTTTAGATTCAGCATATCAAAGAACCCTAAGAATTCAATTTTTGTTAAAATCAAACTAAGTTTAATTTTGGACCCTTTGGACCTTAATGTAGACCAATTTGAAAACGGAACCAAAAATTAAGAATCTAAATACACGGTTAGATTCAGCATATCAAAGAACCCCAATAATTCAATTTTTGATGAAATCAAACAAAGTTTAATTTTGGACCCTTTGGACCTCAATGTGGACCAATTTAAAAACGGGGCCCAAAATCCAAAAACTAAATACACGGTTAGATTCAGCATATTAAAGAACCCCAAGAATTCAAGAATAAAACCCCATTGAAATTGGTCAAGAAATAAGCAATTTATACGAAGTATCTTCTTTTGCACAATACTGTGCAATTAAATATTTCTTGCTATTGCGCAATACTGTACAATTGACAATTTCTTGCTATTGCGCAATACTGTGCTATACCCATATTTCTTGCTATTGCGCAATACTGTGCAATTGAAGATTTCTTGCTATTGTGCAATACTGTGCAATTGAAGATTTCTTGTTATTGTGCAATACTGTGCAATTGAAAATTTCTTGCTATTGCACAATACTTATTATATAATAATTTACACTTCCTGTTTGGTGTGTATCTCCTACCATATCATTATTATTTGCTTTTAAATATTAATCAGAAATAACCAACTTAAAATGGAAAATTTTAAAAGAAAAAAAAAGGAAAAAAAGAAAAAAAAGGAAAAAAAAAAAAATCCCCCCCCAAATTTTTTGAACCCCCTTATGATTCATCACCCCCAAACTCAATCCCAGCCTTCCCTTTGTGGTATGGTACCTTGCAGTACAATTTCAGAGAGATCCATACACTTGAACACAAGTTATTGTCTGGAAACTAGAAAAATGTGTTTTTTGGCCCCTTTTTGGCCCCAAATTCCTAAACGTTTAGGGCAATTACCCCCAAACTCAAACCCAGCTTGCCCTTTGAGATATGGAACCTTGTAGTACAATTTCAGAAAGATTCATACACTTACACACAAGTTATTGTCCTGAAACTAGAAAAATGCTTGTTTTTTGCCCCTTTTTGGCCCCTAATTCCTAAAATATTGAGGCAATTACCCCCATCATCAATCCCAGCCTTCCCTTTGTGGTATGGTACCTTGCAGTATAATTTCAGAGAGATCCATACACTTGAACACAAGTTATTGTCTGGAAACTAGAAAAATGCTTATTTTTGGCCCCTTTTTGGCCCCCAATTCCTAAACGTTTCGGCAATTACCCCCAAACTCAATTCCAGCTTTCCCTTTGTGATATGGAACCTTGTAGTACAATTTCAGAAAGATCCATACACTTACACACAAGTTATTGTCACGAAACTAGAAAAATGCTTGTTTTTTGCCCCTTTTTTGGCCCCTAATTCCTAAAATTTTGAGGCAATTACCCCCAAAATCAATCCCAGCATTCCTTTTGTGATATGGAACCTTGTGGTACAATGTCAGAGAGATCCATACACTAACACACAAGTTATGTCTGGAAGTTACAAAAATGCTTATTTTTGGCCCCTTTTTGGCCCCTAATTCCTTTACTGTTGGTACCATAACCCCCAAAATCAATCCCAACCTTCCTTTTGTGGTATTGAACCTTGTGGTAAAATTTCATAGAGATCCATTCACTTAAACTAAAGTTAGAGTGCGAAAACCAATGTGTCTTCGGACGATGCCGGACAACGACGACGACGCCGACGCCAACGTCATACCAATATACGACCACAAAAATTTTTTTGCGGTCGTATAAAAACAGCAAAATTTCCTTAAAATTACCAATTCAGGGGCAGCAACCCAACAACGGGTTGTCAGATTCATCTGAAAATTTCAGGGCAGATAGATCTTGACCTGATAAACAATTTTACCCTTTGTCAGATTTGCTCTAAATGCTTTGGTTTCAGAGATATAAGCCAAAATCTACATTTTACCACTATGTTCTATTTTTAGCCATGGCGGCCATCTTGGTTGGTTCGCCGGGTCACCGGACACATTTTTTAAACTAGATACTTGAATGATGATTGTGTTTAAGTTTGGGTGCATTTGGCCCAGTAGCTTCAGAGGAGAAGATTTTTGTAAAAGTTTACGGACGACGGACGACGGACGCAAAGTGATGAGAAAAGCTCACTTGACCTTTCAGGTCAGGTGAGCTAAAAAGAGCAGAAAACTAAGATTTTCAAGGGTCACAACTTCTGCAAAAAATGCTCAACTGACACAAAACTTAAACTCAATCTGCAACTTCTTATATGACTATATAGTTATCACCAAATATCAAACCAATAGATTGAAGCATTACTGAAGGATGGACGGATCACAACCTGTTTGATAAATAATCTTTAAAAAAAAACAATTAGAAGAGACAATATATATTTGCTTTTTATTTACCTCTGAATCCGACTCAGAATTACTGTTGCCATCATCTTCCCTTTTGCCTCCAAGTATTCTAGGTATTGTAAAAGGTCTGAAATAGTAACATCAATCAAACTTATCAATTACAAAATGTATAAAACAACTGACAAGAATATAAGGTTTTCAAAATCAAGTTTTAAAAAAGCAAGATTCAAAATTATATAACTAAAAATTAAGTGACCCTGCTGATAACTTACATTTGAGGTTTTCTGGTTGTAAAAAAAAAGAAACAGAAAGTAACAACTAGTAAAAGAGTCAATGTACCCATGCATGTACATCAAAGCATAAAATATTATACACTTATTCACTGGCTATGAGGACATTATCAAGTTTATTTTCCCCGAGATACATGTAACTTTTTCCTGACATGAAGCATGGGAAAATAGTTGGTGTCGAGTGGGGCAATAAACTTGCTATTTTCTGAATAGCCAGTAAATAAAAGTTTAATAATACAGAACCATACCTGCCAACCCTCCCGTTTTGAGCGGGAGACTCCCGCTCAAATGGCGAAATTCAGGAAATCTCCCGCTTGCCGGTACCCTCCCGCACGGGAGTATAGAATCTCCCGCTTTTGGATAGTTTAACCTTGAATGACAAGTCAACATTAATTACATTTTTGTGTCACTGATGAGGGTTGTTTTTACCTGTAAATCACAGACCATGTGAAATTAAATGGCTTCACTTGACAGCTTGGGTGTCAAAATTGTACTAATTAACGATCATTAACAACTTTTGCTTCAAGCTTTGTGTAATTAAAAACACTTCAAAGAAATTTCGGGTTACTTCCCCTGTTTAATCCTGTTTTAAGTTACCCTTCTTAAAATAATGTGAATTGATAAAACAATATAAACTAAATACAAATTAAACCAAGAATCATAAAAGGATGGCAATTAAAAGATTTTGTATGCCTTAAGACAAAAAAAATAATTATATTTTAAAAATCACTTAAAAGATCTATACTTCTATTCAATGTTTATATTGAAATTTATAAGATATGTATTGAACCAAATTTAGTGAAATATATGTGTGCACACACATAATGCACCATCTATGACTTCATGATTGCTCTCTTATAACAGAGGTATCTGGGGTGAAAAGTTGTCCTGATGGGATACAAATGTCAAAGATGATGAAATAGGAAAGAAACAAACAACACACCTTCTGTAGGATATAACCATATTTAAAGAAACAAAGTATATCTATTAACTCTTATATAGATGATGTTCTCTCACTATATAATACAAAATTTGGTGACTATGTTGAACGAATCTATCCCATCGAACTAGAGATAAAGGATACGACAGATACAGTTAAGTCTGCCTCATATCTTGACTTATATCTAGAAATTGACAATGAGGGTTGGTTGAAAACAAAACTTTACGACAAAAGAGATGATTTCAGCTTCCCAATTGTGAACTTTCCATTTCTATGTAGCAACATTCCAGCAGCGCCTGCATACGGAGTATATATCTCCCAATTGATACGATATTCCCGGGCTTGTATTTCCTATCATGATTTCCTTGATAGAGGATTGCTGCTCACAAGGAAGCTATTAAACCAAGAGTTCCAAATGGTGAAGTTGAAATCATCCCTTCATAAATTTTACGGACGCCATCACGAGTTGGTTGACCGTTATGGAATAACCGTTTCACAGATGATATCGGATATGTTCCTTATGTCGTAACTACAATATCCTTCACTTTTCACGAATGTGACCTACCGAATTAGACTATTTACCGGATTTGTAATAACATAAGCAACACGACGGGTGCCACATGTGGAGCAGGATCTGCTTACCCTTCCGGAGCACCTGAGATCACCCCCAGTTTTTGGTGGGGTTAGTGTTGCTTAGTCTTTAGTTTTCTATGTTGTGTCATCTGTACTGTTGTTTGTCTGTTTGTCTTTTTATTTTTGGCCATGGCGTTGTCAGTTTGTTTTCGATCTATGAGTTTGAATGTCCCTCTGGTATCTTTCGTCCCTCTTTTATATGTGTTTCGTAGATGAATAAATAAACAAGTCATATATTTCACTTGAAAATGTCGATCGCGCAAAATCTCCCCCTCAGCTGTCATAGCTGAGAGGGAGATCTCCCTCTTTGAAGGTTTCAGAGGTTGGCAGGTATGTACAGAATGTACTGGAATATGTTTACTTCCAGTAAATAGTTCATACACAGTGTCAGAATAGTTTTTTTATAGAAAATTTTACTGGCTATGAGGAAAAAATACTGGAAAATGTTTGCTTCCAGTAAATTGTTCATATACAGTTTTTGAAATTATTAACGGGTAAAGTCTTTTTACATAAAATATTTTGCGTCCAGTAAATAGTTTTAGAAACTATCAACCAGTATAAAGTCTTTTTCAGACAATTTTGTAAAAATAGTAAATTTATTCGTCTATAAATTTTATAAAGAAAATACACACTGAGGTATAATAACTAACTCTGTCATCCCACAAAAAGATATACATAAACCAACCTTCTAGCGGTGAGTTCATCGGCAGAGTCAGCATCAAATGCTCCAACATTATTAGTATCATATGTATCATCGTACTCATCATCATACATCTCATTCTCATCCCTGTTTACTTCCTCTAACTGGTACCCATACATCTCATTCAGTTGCTGCTTCATGTTTTCTGATGGTTTAATATCCAGGTCTACCTTGTCTGATTTGCTACTGTAAATTTGTATAAAATATGGTTGTTCTGCAATATGTTTGCTTCAGCATCAAATCTTTTTTCTGTTCTTATTAAATTGTCATTTCAAACACTAATCTTGTAAAAATGTTTATTCAAAGTAAAAATAAAACAAACATCTATAAATGGATGTAGTCAATTTTCAAAATGTTTATTCCCTACTTTATCCTGTATGGTTTCATTTACTGCAATAGCAATTTTGATTTCAAGAGCCAGCAGAACTGCTCACTTGCAAAAACTAAGGTTGTCAAAATAAACTGAAAACTGCTAGTATTACAGATTAAAAGATGCTTCAGAATGAACAGAAACATCTTCTCTGAATTACCATCTTAAAGGTAACTTTAAGGAAGTTCACTTGTCTTGTTTTTGACTTTTTGTCAGATATTCAGAATCCTCTGGTTTTATCAATGTGGTGCTATAAAACATTTTGCCTCTTAACCCCTTCTTTCTCTATATAATTTTATAAAACATAGTTTAAAAGCCATTTTTTGAAAATTTTATGAAATCCTTGTTTTTTTTATAGTTCTTGAAAGAAAAAAAGGTGCCAATGTTGAAAGACATCCTGGATAGTTCTTGTAGACAACTAACCTTTTTCCTTTATGTATTTTACTTGTATCAATATCATCTTTTCTGAATACATCAAATTCATCATCATCAAAAACATTGTGTCTCTTGGTCAGAACAGTCTCTTCTGGCTTGGTCCTGTAAAATATCAAACATTGGGACTCTTGGTAAGAACAGTCTCTTCTGGCTTGGTCCTGTAAAATATAAAACTTTGGGTCTCTTGGTCAGAACAGTCTCTTCTGGTTTGATCCTGTAAAATATAAAACATCTGGGCTTATGGTCAGAACAGTCTCTTCTGGTTTGGTCCTGTAAAATATAAAACATCTGGGCTCATGGTCAGAACAGTCTCTTCTGGTTTGGTCCTGTAAAATATAAAACATCTGGGCTCATGGTCAGAACAGTCTCTTCTGGTTTGATCCTGTAAAATATAAAACATCTGGGCTCATGGTCAGAACAGTCTCTTCTGGTTTGGTCCTGTAAAATATAAAACATCTGGGCTCATGGTCAGAACAGTCTCTTCTGGTTTGATCCTGTAAAATATAAAACATCTGGGCTTATGGTCAGAACAGTCTCTTCTGGTTTGGTCCTGTAAAATATAAAACATCTGGGCTCATGGTCAGAACAGTCTCTTCTGGTTTGATCCTGTAAAATATAAAACATTGGGTCTCTTGGTCAGAACAGTCTCTTCTGGTTTGATCCTGTAAAATTTAAAACACATGGGTTCATGGTCAGAACAGTCTCTTCTGGTTTGATCCTGTAAAATATAAAACATCTGGGCTCATGGTCAGAACAGTCTCTTTTGGTTAGATCCTGTAAAATATTAAACATCTGGGCTCATGGTCAGAACAGTCTCTTCTGGTTTGGTCCTGTAAAATATATACCATTGGGTCTCTTGGTCAGAACAGTCTCTTCTGGCCTGGTCCTGTAATATATAAAACACTGTGTCTCTTGGTCCGAGCAGTCTTTTTTGGCTTGGCCTATAATATATAAAACATTGTGTCTCTTGGTCTGAACAGTCTCTTTTGGCTTGGCCTGTAAAACATAAAACATGGGACCTTTTGGTGTGAACAGCCTCTTCTGATTTGATCCTGTAAAATATAAAACATCTGGGCTCATGGTTGGAACAGTCTCTTCTGCCTTGGTCCAAAATTATAAAACGTTGGGTTTAAAATAAAGGTGACAGTGTACCACATTTTATTTTTTAATTCCAACAGATTTATTCAACTTATAATTAGCAGCTGTCAATCTAAAATAAAATGCTTCGCTGGGTCGCAGCTTGATACGACCGCAGAGGTACCCTGAACATTTGGGGCAAGTATGGACACAACATTTAAGCTTGATACAGCACTGAATTTGGATTGTAATTAAATATTTGACACAGCATAGGTTTCTGACACAGAATGAAAGTGGTCAAAGAACTTAAAAAAATTTTAATTTACCTATTCAAACCATATCATTATTATATATAAATCAGAAATAACCAATTTAAAATGGAAAATTTTAAAAGAAAAAAAAGGAAAAAAAAATCCCCCCCCCCCAAATTTTTTGAACCCCCTTATGATTCATCACCCCCCAAACTCAATCCCAGCCTTCCCTTTGTGGTATGGTACCTTGCAGTACAATTTCAGAGAGATCCATACACTTGAACACAAGTAATTGTCTGGAAACTAGAAAAATGCTTGTTTTTTGGCCCCTTTTTGGCCCCAAATTCCTAAACATTTTGGGCAATTACCCCCAAACTCAAACCCAGCTTTCCCTTTGTGATATGGAACCTTGCAGTACAATTTCATAAAGATCCATACACTTACACACAAGTTATTGTCCTGAAACTAGAAAAATGCTTGTATTTTTGCCCTTTTATGGCCCCTAATTCCTAAATTTTTGAGGGAATTACCCCCAAAATCAATCCCAGCATTCCCTTTGTGATATGGAACCTTGTGGTACAATGTCAGAGAGATCCATACACTTACACACAAGTTATGTCTGGAAGTTACAAAAATGCTTATTTTTGGCCCCTTTTTGGCCCCTAATTCCTTAACTGTTGGTACCATAACTCCCAAAATCAATCCCCACCTTCCTTTTGTGGTATTGAACCTTATGGTAAAATTTCATTGAGATCCATTCACTTAAACTAAAGTTAGAGTGCGAAAACTAATGTGTCTTCGGACGATGACGACGCCGGACAACGACGACGACGACGCCAACGTCATACCAATATACGACCACAATAATTTTTTTGCGGCCGTATAAAAAGATACAGTGACTGGTTTTAATGGACCTACCTGGGAAGATTTCTATCAATATCTTGTAAAGATGGTGGTAATCTTTCTTCCAACACAGCATTAATTACTTTCTCCATGCTGTATCCCATCTCCTCAAAACACAACTAAAATTTGATAAATTTCAAGTTTACTTCAACATTTTTCACTCAATCTTTTGTTATAAAAAAACAGTAGTAACACAGTTTATTTATCTATTATAGTTTGAACATAATAGCCAAAAACGAAAAAAATGGAAAAAAAATCATCATTCAAGAGCAATAATTACTAAAAGTAGTCAACTGACGATTTACACAATTGGCTTCTATTTAGATCTTGACTTACTGATCAGATTTGCTAGTTAAATTTTTCTATCAATATATTTCAGTTTTCAAGATAATAGATAATAGTTGGGATCCTGCTAACATGTTTAACCCCGCCACATTCTGTATGTATGTGCCCGTCCCAAGTCAGGAGCCTGTAATTCAGTGGTTGTCGTTTGTTTATGTGTTACATATTTGTTTTTCGTTCATTTTTTGTACATAAATAAGGCCGTTAGTTTTCTCGTTTGAATTGTTTTACATTGTCATTTCGGGGCCTTTTATAGCTGACTGTGCGGTATGGGCTTTGCTCATTGTTGAAGGCCGTATGGTGACCTATAGTTGTTAATTTCTGTGTCATTTGGTCTCTTGTGGAGAGTTGTCTCATTGGCAATCATACCACATCTTCTTTTTTATAAATACACAAAATAACAGTCAAAATTGTCATTTAAGGACAATTACTCTAATAAGGAACCAACTGACAATTTCTGCCATATTGACTTATTTATAGATCTTGTCTAGTTGATCATTTTTGCTACATAAAGTTTATGTCTGTCTTTTATCATTTTCAAGATAATAGGCAAAAATGAAAAAAATTGGTAAAATTCTTCATTTTAGTGCAGCAAAATATAGTTTTGAGTTTTTACCATTTTCAAAGTTTTCATAGGCTTTGAACAAAACCATTTAAAGTTTAAATAGACTAAGTGTGTCTTATTAATGGCTTATTTTCAGAAAATTTTGATAATTAATTGTGTATGAATCAAAATGTAGTGTACAAGAAATAATCACAAAAACAACATTCATGACATTCAGCAATAAATCAAAATGTACAATTTTACATATGAATCATGTTACAAAATTAGCTTTTGAAATAAAAATATGACCTACAAAAGCAAGTCAAACTAACATCTACAGGTATACATTTGTGCTATACCTCTATAAAACCCTCTCCAAGATCTGGTAACAAATCTTTAACTGAAGAAACTAAAGATTCCAGTTCTACTCCCGTCTTCCTTGGCTCACTACAGGCTCCTTCATATTCCTACAACAGGTAAAAATATATAAAAATCAGTCTATGAGGATAGAAATTATAAAGAAATTGGGAGAATTTTTTTTTTTTTTTTCAATCAAGTTGATTTCCTAATTTTAGCGATAAAGCCCTTTGGGTTCATATATAAAAATAAGATTTGGTATGATTGCCAATGAGACAACTATCCACCAGATTTCAAATGAAATAATACACTTCAAAATGATGACCATGTAAAGATAGTAAGAATAAATACATCAATGAGATGATGTGACTACTATAAGTTATATGGTTCGCTACTGACCCCGTACGGATCCATAGAGGGTTAGTAAAATCCATAGGGGGTGAGGCCGGAGGCCGAATCTCCTATGGATTTTATTCACCCTCTATGGTCCGTAGGGGGTCAGTAGTTAACCGTATAACGAATTTATCGCACGCGATACTTTTTCTGCAGCGTTTTGTAGAAAAATAAACAATGAAATACAAAAACATCAATAGATGACGTCACCATTGACAGTAGACGTGACGTCATGAACCCACTATGGAATTTACTAACCCCCTACGGATCCATAGGGGGTCACCACGTGACGGCGTTAAACCAATCACAACGTGATTATTTACCCGCGGTGTGATAATGTGTAATAGGATCATTTTGTTATATTATTTATTCTGTACTTAGTAGTAAATACAGATAAATTGTATGTGTAATATGGTCAACTTCAGTCGTGCTGTATCAGCCATCTGTGATGATATCTTTATCAGTCACGGTTGCAAAGGCTTCATTACACCTTTAATATGTATGACGTCACATCATCAATATCAGTCACTGTTGCAAAGGCTTTATCAAACCCCTTATATGTATTACCTCATGTCATGTAAAAAACATCTACTTGAGGTATATAAAGTGTATATGATATGGCTTTTTCAATATCATACACTGTATCAACCCTAAATCAATATAATCCCTCGAGCAGAGCTCTTGGGATTATATTGATGTCTTGGGTTGATACAGATGTGATATTGAAAAAGACAATTGATATTCTCTATAAATTTGCATGCAAGATTCTTATTTTCTATTTGTTATTTTTTTACTGTGTAAGGGATTCTATTATTGGATTTAAAGCAGTTATATATCAGATGAAAAAAATTCTCTGAAACCAAAGACTAATAAAATCTGCACTTATCCCACAGCATTTAGAATTGATTGATTGTTGTTTAACGCCACTTTCAGCACTATTGTGCTATTTTGTGGCAGTCAGTTTTTATTGACGGAGGACTGGAGTGCCCTTCGGTAAGAAAATTGTCAATCCTAGTCAATTAAGATTGGAGTGGAGCCCACTTGCAGGATTCAAACTCACAACCTCAGTGTTGACAGGCTAGTCATACAGTAGTTAGACTACTTAGTCCACTCGGCCACTGAGGCCCCCAGCATCTAGGAAGAAGAGCAGATTCAAAGTAAGGTAGCATACCGGTAACATGTCTTCTTTCAATCTGATACCTTATGTTCCAGCAGAATTAAGATATTAGCTCAGCATTTGTTCTTAACTAATTCCTTACACTATAAGATGCAGCATAATCATCTTGTGTGCTCTGGTTCCCTGCAGGTGCCCCTCCTGCTGCTACCAAAGGTTCTGGGGATCCATCTGGACTGGTTCTTCCTCCTCTATTCATTCCTCCTGTTGGTTTTCTTCTCTTACCATAGGTGGCAAAAGCTGAGTGAACAGCTTCTTGAATATACTGGATCCTTGTCTCATCACTATTGTATCAGTTAAGGAACAACATATTTGTAACCATTGTGAAATAATATTCAATAACATACATTTTCTTTTATTTCTTAATTTTTTGTCGTTAATAAATTGACACATTTTAAATGAAATAGTTCAATCAAATCCTGCAAACATTTTAATATTCAAAATCATTAAACATAACATTTTCATTAACAACTTGACTTTGTTCTTTGGCAATTTATAATATATCATATAGGATACACATCACAAGTAGACTGTGTTATGATATCTAAATACACTTGTACTTGGTAACACCCATCAAAATCAGCAAGAAATCTGAAATTTAACAAAAGATTCATAAAAAAATACAACCTTTCAGGAACATCAGAAAGTTGAAGCATTCTTTTCTTTTTAAGCTTTAATTGTTGTACCTCTTTGTTATGTAAGTTGCAGGGACATTCCTTTATAATCCTACACTTTGGTAATCTTTACTGAATGCAAAAATATTTATTCTATAAAGTATCTTGATCAAATAAATCAAAAGCTGAATGATGTACTGTATTTGAGCATGTATCAACTTTACTATGACTTTTTTTTAGGGTTCAAGACAACAGAGAGAATATACGTATTGATTAAGATTGACATCTGCAAACAATATAAATAGGCGGAGTTAAACCTGTATACATTTTACTTCATTTTGATTGGATGTTATTCTGGAGGTTAGGAATCTAAACATAAATTAGCTCTAAAATTACTGGAACCATGTGTCTGTACAATGTCACTGATTATGATAGTCAACCTTGAATTTTATCTCATCAAGGTTTTCTTGTTTTCAAAGAACACTGCATTGCAATGAGTAATTTGTTAGGAGATAATCTATTCCAAGTTCTCTCAATTCAGAGAGGTCTTATCTACAGTCATTATAAAAAACCATACTATAAATGGTGTTAACATGTACTTAAGATTACAAAGGAGCAATTTTTATGATAAAGTTTGAAACGATGTGATACAAACCTTCTGTCTCCCAGTAAGGCAGAAAAAGTTTCTATAAATCCTTCTATACAGTCAGTATTCTTTGCACTATATAAATATTAAGAATATACATAGTTTTACATACACATGATACATGAGATAATTCTGTTACTCAAAAAATTGTTATAGATTCATTTCATCTTTAACTGTAGTTTTAACTGGTGTCTTTACAACAGATAGAGAAATAAGAAATGGATAAATCAAATAATCATGAATGAATTTTTATTAATAGTCTTAACAGGAAATAGCTTTGATTTCTGAAAAGTAAGAAATTTATAGAGAAGTTTTAACAAGAATTTTCTTTTATATTTCATTTATTGATTGATTTTTGCTTACTTAACATCCAGTGGCATTTTATGTTACATGTATATTTCAGGGGATTACACCTTGGGATTTTTTTTTCAGATTAAATATAGCATTTTAGGTGATATTGGGGCCTCGGTGGCCGAGTGGTCTAGGTAGTCGAACTACTGTATCACTAGCCAGTCAACACTGAGGTTGTAAGTTCGAATCTTGCATGGGGCAGGTGCACTTGACTCCAATCTTAATGGACTAGGATTGTCAGTTTTCCTACCGAAGGCCGGTGGTTCTCAAAGGGCACTCCGGCTTCCTCCACCAATAAAAACTGACCGCCACGAAATAGCATAGTCATGTTGAAAATGGCATTAAAACACCAATGATGTTCATAAAATCATCAAGAATTGTACCATCTATCTTATACAATAAAAAGCATAGCAATGTTTGTTTCAATTTTCTTTGAAAAATGTATTTTTCTATTATATATTCTTATATATGCAGAAAGTATTATCAAAGATACCAGGCTTAGATACAGAAAAATTGGTTGTCTTGTGCTGTGATCTTTGGTCAGGTTGTTGTCTCTTTGATACATTTCTCGTTTTCATTCTCTATTCTATTAACAATAACATACCTTTGATCCAAAACAGGCTGTATGAAACAATGAGTGACAATAGAATTCACAACCTTCATAAAGGAAACAGAGGCTTGCTTTAATTTTCTCTTCAGTAACTTCTGATGGCTGTGAAAATAATATATATGGCATTAAAAGAGGGGGAGAAATATACTAAGATCCTATGTGAAATAAAAGCCTTTATTGATTCACTTAAATAGCAAACACCAGCTTAAAATCAAACATATAAATTTCAGTTGTAAAGGTATTAGGTGTAAATTTCTTCTTAAATTGGCAACAAAGGGTCTCATACTACCTTGTAATGTTTATTTAATTTGCTATTAGTTGAGAGAACGTAAGTCTAAAATCTATTTTTAATGTAGTCAGGTAATTATTCAAACATAATGCATCTGTCCAAGCAGACAAATAATGTAAACCTACTAATTTTCACAGACACTTTTTTTCATGTTTAGACTTTTCTAGTCAACTAAATGACGATAAATTTTCATGATTTATCAGTTATGGTGTTAATAGAGAAGAAACATGTTTTGAGATATTAGCAGCAATTTCTATTCTCAATATTTTCAACTCATGAAAGCTTCCAAGATAATTCGTTCACATAAATTAGTTGGTTTACAGTTTCCATTCTTTGGTTGAATCTGGATGTATTGGTAATAAAGAAAAATATTTCCTTTGTCTAAAACTTACTCCTTGTTTTCAAACATTCTCATCTTCAGTGCTTGAGAGATTTCAGGAAAAACAGCATCATAGAACTCTGCTAACCTATATAAAGAAGTATAAAAAACTTATGTAATATGATAACATTATCAATATCTAATCTCAAGCAACAATAGATCTGTTTTGTTCTCATTTCAATAAATAGCAAGGAAAGGCATTTACAATATTGAAAGATATCAAAAATATGAAATAAAATTGTCATTGAAATTCGGTTAAAAAAATTAAATAAGACAGAACTAGAAATGCCTGTGGAGAAGAACAAATACTTTTGTTTCAAATTTTTGTCAGCCATAATTATCTGTTTTATTGAATATATTTTTAAGACATGTTAATGAAGATTTCTAAATTAAGCACAAAAAAAATACTCAGCATCCCAAAACATGTTAAAAGGAAAAAAATATAATAAAGGATATCTGATGAAGCAAGTAGAAGTTGCATCCACAAAGTGCATACTGAATAGTATATATATTTTTTATGTTCAAAAGAGCATTACTCTGGGATTTGTCAACAGACCAGGATGCTCTTTTAATATGTTCATCTTCATATTGAGATTTTATATTGTACAAAGTTTCATGAAAATATACTGAAGCACAAAAGAGGAGTCACAACCTCACAGTGCACACTAAATAGTATAAAAATTGTCAAAGTTCAAAAGGCCATTAGTCCCATTACTCTGGGATAAGTTAATGGATCAGGATGTTCTTATTATATTCACATCTTCATATTAGGATCTTTCAAGGTACAAAGTTTCATGAATATATAATGCAGCATGTAAGAGGAGTTAGTTGCCTACTGAAAAGTTAAATTGTCTAAGGTTGGGGAGATTAAATCCATTAATATTCAATGGAAAGAAAAATGTTTTGTGTTGTTAAGTTTACATATCCTAATCTGTAATTGCACATAGTTTTTTTAATTGGAAAAATAACTCAAAAGTCAGTTGATACCCCCTCTCAAATCTGAAATGTGCTAACATGTTACAACTCGTCACTGTCAAAAAAAAAAAAAAAGAAAAAAGCAAACTAAACAAATGTGAAGTCATGTTTATTAGTAGTTTCTAAGAAAAGTGTGATGAAAATATTTGTTGGACTAACAGATTGAATGATGGACAAGGTGATTGCTATATTGTCCCCACTTTTAAAGTGGGTATAATTACTACTCTTAAGTACAACCAAGGCTTCCAAAACGGTCATATATGCTGAACATTTGTATAATGTCCGGTAAAAGTCCGGCTGGGAAAAGCATGAAACGGTCATCTTCTTTTTAGTTTTCAAGGCTTTCTTAAGAGACGGTCAATTTAACATAATTCACGATCTTTTTGACCCAACATTTTGCCTTTAACAGCCACACATTTCCGGTCATAAAAGTGACATGATCATTAAGTACTATCAAAACAACCCCTACTTTAATACCTTCTCATTTTAATCAAGGCTAATTAGTTGTCGGACAGCTGAAATTTACCTGTTCAGGTGACAGGTAAACTATTTTGAACCGGACATTGATCGGTCTATTCAAAGTTATTTTCTTACATTTCAGCAGGTTTGCATCTAATTAATTTAGTCAAAAAGATTTAAATTATCAGAAATACGTTTACAAATATGATTTGATGAAAAAATTAAAAAGGTGAAAATGAAAAATCGTCATAACCACGTTGTTTGAACCAGAGACATGTCTCTGTTTGAACTAGTACACATGTGTGCATGTGCGCAGGTGTGACATTTAATTATGCATCCTAATTTCTTCAAAAAATGCTTAAATTGTCATTGATACCTTTATCTCACGTTTATTTCGAATATATTCTTGAAGAAATAACGTAGAAAGATTTCATACTTTGCAAACGTATACGGAATTTACGTATCCGTCTCTGGTCCATGTTTTACCATTGTCAAGATAACATCCGGTATTATTTCAAAAAACGAAAGTAAAGTTTTTGACAACGTTATTTTGCACAAATAAAGAGTCTAAGGCAGATATAAGTACGCTGATGTTGCACACTTCGAATGAAGCACTGCCAATTTAACAGTTTACGTCAGAACTTCAAATTTGAATCAAAGAAAGTTTAATATCGTTTTTTTTTAATGTCAATCATGGGGATGGCCAACTCGGCAACTGATTACCATAATTGCCTTTTGCTTATTTTGTCTTAAGGGATTAAAATCGGGATAATATATAAAATGTCCGGCTGGCTTAAAATAATTTTGGAAGCCCTGAGTACAACTCAGCTATACCTAGGTATAAACAGTTCTTGGAGGAACAGGTCACAGGACTGAGGATGGATCTCCAGGAAATTTGCCAAGGTCAAGGCTATATCTGCTAAATATAGAACAATATCCTGGAAATCTGAGATAAGCATGGTTATTAATGGAGAGTTATCTGTCCTTGGACTGCTTAGTTTCTGTGGTGACAAACTTCCATGTTTGTCTATTGAAATTCCACATTTTTCTGCAATATCATGAAAGACCTACAATATAGTAAATATCAAATTATCAATAATATCATAACTGCATATATGTTGTATAATTTCATCTGAGTTTTAAAAAGTTCAATCTATAATGTTTGTCTTATTTACATGTATAAATAGAAAAAAAGAAAAAATGATAAATGATTTTAAAAATTATTGTCAAAATAGTTTATTTGTGGCTTCAAAGTTTCAAGGTTTGTAGAAAAATAAATTTTCAATGGGTTTTTAAAATTATTGTTTTTAAACATTGCACATAATTAAACAATGGACCATCATGTTTTGCTAAACTATAATTCCATGAAATCCATGAAAATTAGTAGATTAAAGTCCTGCCATTGGATCATTACACATATAATCATCAACTTTAACAATCAAATGTTTAATAACCATTTATTCTTTGGTATACTTTGTCTTATAATAATTAAACATTATACATTAAACTGATAATAGGAATACATTACCTGTATGACTGTAGGAATAGCACAGCATAAATCATCATTATATTTTGGTTGCTGAGTGAAAATGTTATCTACCATCTTTGTCAACAGCGGACCATTTCCCTCGCCATACAGTACACAAAGGTCAAATATCTTAGGAATGTCAAATAAAAAGTTTTCATACACGATCTCACCAAACACACTAGGTGTTATATGATGTTCCTATAATGAAAAAAACTTCTTCAGAATCATGCAAATACAAGATTACTTAATAATAAATTTTGTAACAACAGAACTGTAATTGTCGAAATGGGCTAAATTAAGCAGAGTAATTCTTGAATAGTATATAAATAATTAAAGCTTGAATTAAATAAACAAAGAACATTTCGATAAAAAAAAATTTCAGAATTTTAACATAATTTTTATGAAGTCAATTGGTAAATATACATATCTCCCAAAGATACCTGTATAAATGCAGGAGCCTGTAGTTCAGTGGTTGTCATTGGTTCATGTCGGTCATATTTGTTTTTCGTAATTTGGTTTTGTTATAAATTTGGCCGTTAGTTTTCTCAATTGAATTGTTTCATATCATTCATGTCGGGGTCTTTTATAGTCGATTATACGGTATGGGTTTTTCTCATTGTTGAAGGCCATACGGTTGCCTATAATTGCTTACATCAACTTCATTTGAATTTTGGTGGATAGTTGTCTCATTGGCAATCATACCACATCTCTTATTTTTATATTATATGGTAACATTAGAGCATATACACATAATAAGTATAGTCTGATTTATACTGAAATCTCTACTGAAAACCAAGGATATACAAATTCATTTTGACATCAATAATAACACCTCATATTAACTTAAGTCTTGTTATCATAAATGTTATAACCAACAAATATAACATGTATCATCATAAATTCTACTGTGGATTCGCTTATTTTCATGGGAACCAATTTTTGTGGATTGAGGAAAATTAAAATTTTTGTGGATATTTGATTTGGTGTTTTTTTTACCAAAGTCTGCAAACACGACTATAGAAAATATGTACTTGGACTAACATTGAAATTCATCGTTCACATATACCCATGACCTACACAAAAATTGGTCTTCCACGAAAAATAATGAATTCACAGTATATATACATTCTGGTCATACTCTGAGGTATAGATATAGGAAGATGTGGTATGAGTGCCAATGAGACAACTCTCCATCCAAGTTACAATTTATAAAAGTAAACCATTATAGGTCATTATAGGTAAACCATTATAGACCTTTAAAAAATATTTACTAAAACGATTTATACTGTGGATTCATTTATTTTTGTTGGCACTATTTTCGTGGATTGAGGAAAAACTACAGTTTTGTAGAAAATTGATTTCAAGGTTTTTGGCAATTTCTGTATACAAGCCAATAGGAAATTGAAACTTCGTTGAACACTTTAATTTGTGGTTCATCAATACCCACGAAATCAAAGAAAAATAAGAACCCAACAAATTATAATTAATCCACAGTTCATAAATATCAGTATTTCGTAAAAAAATATTGGCTTCAAAGTAAAAGCTTAAGTTAGAAGAGAGTTAATATTATATTAGAGATCAACTCATCAATTTTGGAAATTTTGTCAGCAATACCTACCAAATAGCAAAACATTAAAATCTGACAAATAAATAACTAAGGTAATTTCTTTATACCTGTGACTCTTTAAATGTTGCCATTCTCAAACATGTCATAAACACCAGTCTATGGACCTCATTATGTATGGACTGTATATCATCTGTCAAGTGGTATATCACATCATATGACCTGTCAACAATGAAAATTACCATATCATTTTAATTGTATACTGTAGATTCATATAATATTTTCATGGGCACCAATTTTCATGGATGAGGAAAACTTTAATTTTTGTGCTTTTGCCAAAGTCTGCATATATTCCTAAAGAAAATTTATAATTTATTGATTATTTAAATTCATGATTCCCCTGTAATCTCTAAATTGGTATTCAACGAATATTAATAATGAATCCATTGTATACAGCAAGGAAGATTTTTAATATTTCTAGTTTTCAAATAGTACAATTAATAAGACAAACAATTTGTGGATTTGGCATGTTGAAAGTCAATTAATACTTATATTTACTAGTTTTAAAAACAGAAAAGCAATGTTTTAAAGTATACATTTCTTTGATTTTTTTCTGTTGCAAAAGTTAGTTCAGTACTTACTAAAATAAAATGCTCCGCTGGGGCGCAGCTTGATACGACCGCAGAGGTCGAACCCTGAACAGTTGGGGCAAGTATGGACACAACATTAAAGCTTGATACAGCACTGAATTTGGATTGTAATTAAATATTTGACACAGCATAGGTTTCTGACACAGAATGAAAGTGGTCTAAGAACTTAAAAATTTTCAATTTACCTATTCATACATGTGATGGACTGTGAAACTCAGATCAGGAGATTGGGAAATTTTGGTCAGGAGATTAGGACTCAGATCAGGAGGTTTTTAATCGACATTAATTTTGTTGTAAATGTAACCGTGTGCTGTAAAAATGGTCTTTTAAAGTGTGTTTTCTTCAACTTTCCATCCAATTTATTATGTTTATAGTACCCTTGTACTTATAAAGTTTCTCCATCTTTATATTCTACATGTTCAATCTAACATTGTATTTTTCCAGTATGTTCTTTAAATTTTTTACTTCATATTCTATAAAACAATCATTGCAACCAGAACATTTGTTTAGCTATCTGCAAATAGTTTTTATTTTTTATTTTTTCTCTTGCAAATAGTTTTTATTACTGGTTCTCTGTAACAATTTAAACTCTTATATAGGGAGTGTGGCACGCATGGTCATGGATTTTCTTCAAACTTCACACACTTACTAGTCTTGATGAAACAAACAAAAAATGGCAAAATTTTGGTTGCTAAGCATATCGGTTGCCATAGCAACCGATGACCAGTTTTACCTCTTCTGAATATCTATGATTTTAAGCTGAAAAAGGCTATTTTCAACATAATTTTTCATAATAAATAATTAAGAGAATGAATATTGTTTTATGATTTCATTATATATATGCATTTTATTAATGTAATTTAATAACTGATATTTTCATATTTCATTTCAATCATAATCACATATACCCCCCTTTTTATGTGGTTTGCATTAGGTAAAAAATACCCTTTTGATGTCATTTTTGAATGCTCACCATAATTGTTTGCGGACACCTGAGGTTAAGTCAAACATGAATTCATAAATATCATAGTCTTATCTTATCAATGATGCGAAAAAGTAATGGGGAAGTATGTCTCGATATTTTGTTACCATGGATACAAAATGCTTAGTTTTCATTTTTTCAGAAAATTTTTTTTTTTTTAATTTTGAAAAAAAATGTTTTAAAACCTAACTCTGCAGTCAGAAAAAAATTAATAAATATACAATATGTAGAAATTATTGTTATCATCAAAATTTTAAACATATTCATATATAACGGTATGATAGTTTTAACTGTGTTGCTATGGAAACAATTTCATTTTGATACACAAATTTAAAACAATTTTGAAAAAAGTTTCAGTTAGTTTCTTAAATGTGCACAAAAGTAGGAAAACTTAAACACTTATTAAGTTTCACTGTATACACACATGTGTATATATGAATGATTTTGCTAGTTTAGTATTTCGATAATGGTGTTACCACTTGAAGGAAACAAACACAATTTCTGTATTCTGGATAAAAGTGCTGATTATAAAGAAATTTCAGTCTGTTTTCATAATCATGAAAAATATGCAAGAAAAACAATTACTCAATCTAGAAAAAAACAAACAAAATCATTTCAAAATTTACATATTCAATTGTACAATATTTGCCATTGAATGTGTTGCCATGGAAACAAGTAGTTCATTTGCAAAAATACGGATAAGTACTAATTTTTACAAATGCGTTTTAATGAACTTCGATACATATAACAATGAATGTATACAGTTTTGCTTACATAATAAAATTGAGAATGGAAATGGGGAATGTGTCAAAGAGACAACAACCCGACCAAAGAGCAGACAACAGCCGAAGGCCACCAATGGGTCTTCAATGCAGCGAGAAACTCCCGCACCCGGAGGCGTCCTTCAGCTGGCCCCTAAACAAATATGTATACTAGTTCAGTGATAATGGACGTCATACTAAACTCCAAATTATACACAAGAAACTAAAATTAAAAATGATACAAGATTAACAAAGGCCAGAGGCTCCTGACTTGGGACAGGCGAAAAATGCGGCGGGGTTAAACATGTTTTTTGAGATCTCAACCATCCCCCTATACCTCTAGTCAATAAGCAGGTTTTCTTGTATTTGAGAAAAAATAATAATATTCCAGGCATTATTAGTGATAGTGTTGCCATAGAAACAACAAATTACATGTATATATGCATAAACTTGGAAAACGCTTGAAAATAGACTAAATCTCTCATACAAAAACTCTCTTCTGTAAGTTTTCAATTTAATGCAGTGTCAAAGAATGATGGCTTTTACAAGTCAGTCCATCAACTAGTATTCAAATGCTGTAGTGAAGATTAAAGATCAAAGTGCCACTTGGTGTTGACAGTTTGGAATTTTAGCTACTAGCTACTAGCTCCTAACTATTTATACATAATATTAAGAAGATACAATCAGAACATTGACAGTTCAAGAAAGGCCAAGCTTAAAATTGTTTGTGTGAGGCACAGAAATAAACACAAATGAAAATAATCAATATCGTTGGGGGGGGGATGGGGGGAGGGTAGGATTTTGTAAAAATAAAATGATCGATTAGTTATGGTTTGCTTTGTGTCCAGTGTCAAATATCTCATGCATATTTCGGAAGAGAACAAAATCAATAAATTTAATAAGAACATTGTTGGTCCAGTGCTAGTCTACTGACCCAAAATAATCAAAGGCAATAATTTGACACACTTCAACACAATACAAAATAGAACAAAAAGAGTAAAATGATAATTGACCATCTAACCTTTCTTTCTATAAAGGAAAAAAATACCTATATTATGAGCTGTTTATTTTTCTTATTCATTATTAAACTCAATGTTGAAATGGCAAAGCATGTATACGTTTTGAATATTATTGTATTATTGGATGATGAGTATCTACATGAAGATCATTTTTTAGGTGAAGTTGAAAAAAATAGACAATTTCAAAAAGGTCCGGCAATATGGGTAGGCTGGGATGAAGGCGGACAATTTGAAATATCACTGGAAATCGGGATCAATTGGACAAGGACAGAAATTTCAATAGGTCAACTTGGGTGCCCCTAAAAGAATTAACACAAGGGATCTTTAGCAAACAAAGGGCGTAACCAACAAGGGCGGGTACTGTCGGCCGTTGACCCGATGGTCCCTGGTATCCATCCGACACATTTTTTGTGTGCCATTCTGGCCGGGGAGGATCTGTCTTAAAACGAGCAGTGGGGGGAAATATACCATCTGGACAATTTTCATATAAGGGGTCACACTGACTGCCTAAAGTGATGGCCCGCTACATCTATGCTTCAGTGATTCCATATGTAATCAACCAAATATTTCCAATAAATAAGGAGGGGATGGGCCCTCAGGGCCCCTGGATCCGCCTATGGTAGCACTATCTTAACATTAGTATTAGGCATTGGATTATTGAAATTTGAGAAAATAACAATTATCTTTATGGATTTTTAGCAGCAAATTAAAAAATATTGACCATAAATTATGATAACTCTTTACCGTGAAAGGGTAACTTTAAAAGAATTATATACATGTACATATAATTTGATTTTCACTGACCATGCTGAAAGCCCATTACAGAAAGATGTTTCTCAAAATTAGTATGTTGTCTTTCTTTTAACAAAAACAAAAATTAGATTTTACTTTGAAACGGGACTCAATGTTTATAACATATATACATGTGACTTTTTGTCCTTGACTTTTTGTCTGTGACTTTCTGTCTGTGACTTTCTGTCCTATATTCCGACCGTTATCATGACCAGGAAAAATTACTTTATATCTATTTATATGTAATAGGCTTTGCATCAAATTTATAGAAACACTTAGATTGAACCATTAATATTATCAAATAAGAAAATATAAAATGCTTTTCAAACATATTAGCAAACGATAAATGTATTGACTTTCGAGAACATTTGGCATACCTCAAGCTAAGTCGTTGAATATGTTTACTTATATATTATTAATGTTTATTTTTTTATGAAAATATTTAAAACTACCAGGATATCCTACACAAGGCTCGGCATGCCTTAAGTTGTGCGTGGAAATAATTATTTACTGTTATGAAAATATTAAAAAACAATTATATTGGATTTATCAACTTACATGTATTTTTGGCCTACTTCACACCTTTTGTGTGTTACTTTATATTTGTGATCAAACATGTCAAATTATAACCGGTTATATACAACATAATTTACAACACAGTAAAATACAATATACTTCTCAATACCATAAAAAGTTTAAATAACCTGGTGCCCGTCACAGTACCCTAAACTGTTTTTCCCTGTTTTTTTATTATTTGATAAAGACTTTACCATTCAATCTTAATGGGTTTTTTTTTATATAAATTTTAAGCAAATCCTATCAGATATAAATAAGTATTAGGTAGTACAACGATCAGGACACAGTCAACGTTGGTCAGGTCAAGTTTTTTTTAAGCCAAAAACATATATTTTCACCCTATTTTTTTAATGATATAAAATAACACAGAAATTTTCATCGGTTAGGTCATTGCTGTTGTTGGTCAGGCCATTGTCAACGTTAGAAGGGTCACGTTTTCGGAATTTTTCGGAATTTTTTAATATTTTTTTCTATATTTTTTCATATAGTTATATATCAAATGATCAAATTTTATTATATTTCAAATTTAACATAAATCCTTTAAGAAATAAAAAAGTAATGAGCATTTTCGTTTGGTCCTGTCATTGTCAGCGTTGGTCAGGTCACGTTTTATGAAGATTTAAAAGTTTTCTATATTTTTTCTTATATTTATGTATTAAATGGACTAAATTTATAGCAATTCAAATTTGACAATTTTTTTAAGAAATAAAAAAGTTATTAGCATTTTCGTCTTGGTCCAGCCATTAGTGTAACCCGTCAAAGGGAGATAATTCGTATTGTGAGGAATATTGCACAATGACCATTTTTTAGAAATTAATTCCAGATGTTTCTAGGTAGATTCCCCATAACTTTTTTTGATTTTTGATAAAAGCAAGGCTGAAATAAATTGTTTTTGTGCTTCTTTTTAATAGATGTAGCCGCATAATTTCACCACACTTCACCAAATATTGTATTTTTCTCAAAATTCCCAACTTTCTCCGCTGTTACCATGGTAACCAACCAATATATATATCGGTTGGCATTATTTTTCTGACTAGGCTAATAGGATATACATATCAGCCAATTTTCAGAAAGATCGGTGACTATGTGTGCCGAAAAAGTTTAAGTGGTTACAGAGAATGAGTATTATTTGCAAACTCAAAAATTCATTTTATCTGTAAAATTAGGGTCATAGTTATTATATAAATTTCAATTTAAGCCTTGAAAGGAAGTCTAGAATCCTCAAATAATTTTCAAATTATTATTTTTTTATTTGTCCTAAGACATTTAAAATCATTTAATAACCATCCTTTTATGATTATTTGTTCAATTTATATTTTATTTATATTCTTTTAAAAATTTTCATTATTAAAAGGAAAGTAACTTAAAACAGGATAAATCAAGGGAAGTAACCCAATAAATACACAGTTTTTGTTACACAACGGCAGTTAGCCTGAGGTAAAAATCGTTGATTACCTGTATGTTTGACACCCAAGCTGACAAGTGAAGCCATATAATTATGCATGTTAATTGATTTACAGGTAAAATATAACTTCAGGTAATGTCAGTTACACCAGATGCCTGAGATGATATGTTGGGCAGAAATTTTTCATTCATGAAAAATTTCATACACGGGATTTTTTCCTCTTCAACGGGAGGTCGGGAGGAGACCCCTGAAAACGGGATTATTGTACTCCCGTCGGGAGGTTCACATGTATGCCTATTCAAACCATATCATTATTATTTGCTTTTATATATAAATCAGAAATAACCAATTTAAAATGGAAAATGTTAAAGAAAAAAAAGGAAAAAAAAATCCCCCCCCCCCCAATTTTTTGAACCCCCTTATGATTCATCACCCCCAAACTCAATCTCAGCTTTCCCTTTGTGGTATGGTACCTTGCAGTACAATTTCAGAGAGATTCATACACTTGAACACAAGTTATTGTCTGGAAACTAGAAAAATGCTTGTTTTTTGGCCCCTTTTTGGCCCCAAATTCCTAAACGTTTACGGCAATTACCCCAAACTCAATTCCAGCTTTCCCTTTGTGATATGGAACCTTGCAGTACAATTTCATAAAGATCCATACACTTACACACAAGTTATTGTCCTGAAACTAGAAAAATGCATGTTTTTTTTGCCCTTTTATGGCCCCTAATTACTAAAATTTTGAGGGAAAACCCCCAAAATCAATCCCAGCCTTCCCTTTGTGATATGGAACCTTGTAGTACAATTTCATAAAGATCCATACACCTACAAACAAGTTATTGTCATGAAACTAGAAAAATGCTTTTTTTTTGCCCCTTTTTTGCCCCTAATTCCTAAAATTTGGAGGAAATTACCCCAAAAATCAATCCCAGTATTCCCTTTGTGATATGGAACCTTGTAGTACAATTTCATAAAGATCCATACACTTACAAACAAGATATTGTCATGAAACTAGAAAAATGCTTGTTTTTTGCCCCTTTTTGGCCCCCAATTCCTAAAATTTGGAGGCAATTACCCCCAAAATCAATCCCAGCATTCCCTTTGTGATATGGAACCTTGTGGTACAATGTCAGAGAGATCCATACACTTACACACAAGTTATGTCTGGAAGTTACAAAAATGCTTATTTTTGGCCCCTTTTGGCCCCTAATTCCTTAACTGTAAGTACCATAACCCCCAAAATCAATCCCCACCTTCCTTTTGTGGTATTGAACCTTATGGTAAAATTTCATTGAGATCCATTCACTTAAACTAAAGTTAGAGTGCGAAAACTAATGTGTATTCGGACGACGACGCCGGACGACGACGACGCCGGACGACGACGACGACGACGACGCCAACGTCATACCAATATACGACCACAAAAATTTTTTTGCGGTCGTATAAAAAAATCTTAATTTGGACAAAAATTCAGTCATTACAGTATCTTTTCTGAAAAATTTTGGTTAATTATTTGGAATAAATGATTTTCTTTATGCATGTATCATAATTAAAACACATTTTATTTCAAAATTAAAGAACCTTAGTGAGCGCGCTCACATACCCCACGTCTCCACATTGTCATTGGAGAAATAAAATATGCGTAAGAAAAAAAAATTGTATAAGAAAAAAAAATTGAACCGTAATTTCCTGTCGATATGCACATCTACATAGTATGTCCTTATTATCTAAAAAGGTTTCATGAAATTATGTTGTGTGGTTTCAGAGGAGTTGCAATGACAAACTGTTGCAGTAGTACATTGAAGCAAATAAGTTCAAAGGGGCGTAACTCCTAGAAAAAAAATTGAACCGTAATTTCCTGTCGATATGCACATTTACATAGTATGTCCTTATTATCTAGAAAGGTTTCATGAAATTCTGTTGTGTGGTATCAGAGGAGTTGCGATGACAAACTGTTGCAGTAGTACATTGAAGCAAATAAGTTCAAAGGGGCGTAACTCCTAGAAAAAAAATTGAACCGTAATTTCCTGTCGATATGCACATCTACATAGTATGTCCTTATTATCTAAAACGGTTTCATGAAATTCTGTTGTGTGGTATCAGAGGAGTTGCGATGACAAACTGTTGCAGTAGTACATTGAAGCAAATAAGTTCAAAGGGGCGTAACTCCTAGAAAAAAAATTGAATCGCAATTTCCTGTCGATATGCACAACTACATAGTATGTCCTTATTATCTAAAAAGGTTTCGTGAAATTCTGTTGTGTGGTTTGAGAGGAGTTGCGATGACAAGAAACAGGACTGACGGGTCAAAAACATTATACCCTCCGCAACTCGTTGCGTGGGGTATAATAATATAAGAGAATAGATCAGATTTATAATTATATAACTCAAAATCAGTATTGCCATTGCAAAAATACTACAATCATTTTTTCATTTTTCATTTTGAAAACAACTATAACAAAGTCCTAAAGAAAGTCCTAAAGATGGATATAGATATCACAAAGTTAATAAAATAATCCACATTAAATGGTTTTCCTCTCTATTTTTTAATAAAAACCTTAACATGCATATATATACTTACCTAGGTGAAAATCGTAGGTATGTATCCAATAAGTTCTGTAAAGTGTTATCATGTATCACCTAAAACAAAACAAGTATATACACCTTGTGAAATTTATTTAATCGAGGGGTGCTCCTTTCACGGGAGGGATCTTCGTACATACATACATACAAAGGGGATATACCACTTGTAAGCTATATACCAACAATAACATGATGGAGCATAAGATTGATTGATGTTTGCTTAATGTCCAGTGGCAAATATTGCATGCATGTTCAGGATGAGATTGAGTATAAGAAATAAAATCATGGCTCAGAGAGATATATTGATTGATTGATGAATGGCTGCTCAAAGTCCAGCAGCAAATATTACATGCATGTTTAGAACAATAACATGTTGATGAGATGTGAATATACCCTGCTTTGTAAAAGACCAATACACTCAGTCTGATTTTTAATATGCTAGCTCATGTCAAAAGGTTAAACAGCCAGCAGGAAGACATGTGTCCCTAACCAGACACATAATTGTGACTGAGTCAATTAGCCTTTGATATTGGTCTAACTTGAAAAGATCATTGATATACAGTTACTTCTATTGATGTCTTTAATATGCTCCAACTGCATTTGAGATTGAATATAGAAAGCATGTAAATGACCAAGTCACAATTCAATAAAATGCTCCGCAGGGCGCAGCTTGATACGACCGCAGAGGTCGAACCCTGAACAGTTGGGGGAAGTATGGACACAACATTCAAGCTTGATACAGCTTTGGATTTGGATTGTGATTAAATATTTGACACAGCATAGGTTTCTAACACAGATTGAATGTGGTCTAAGAACTTAAAAATTTTAAATTGGACATTCACCTATTATGGTCCAATATCCAAAATCTAAATACATGGTTAGATTCAGCATATCAAAGAACCCCAAGAATTCAATTTTTGATGAAATCAAACAAAGTTTAATTTTGGACCCTTTTGACCTCAATGTGGACAAAGTTGATAACGGGGCACAAAAATCAAAAATCTAAATACATGGTTAGATTCAGCATATCAAAGAACCCCATATATTCAATTTTTGTTGAAATCAAACAAAGTTTAATTTTGGACCCCGATTTGGACCAACTTGAAAACTGGGCCCATAATCAAAAATCTAAATACATGTTTAGATTCAGCATATCAAAGAACCCTAAGAATTCAATTTTTGTTAAAATCAAACTAAGTTTAATTTTGGACCCTTTGGACCTTAATGTAGACCAATTTGAAAAAGGAACCAAAATTTAAGAATCTAAATACACAGTTAGATTCGGCATATCAAAGAACCCCAATAATTCAATTTTTGATGAAATCAAACAAAGTTTAATTTTGGACCCTTTGGACCTCAATGTGGACCAATTTAAAAATGGGGCCCAAAATCCAAAACTAAATACACAGTTAGATTCAGCATATTAAAGAACCCCATGAAATCAAGAATAAAACCCCATTGAAATTGGTCAAGAAATAAGCAATTTATAGGAAGTATCTTCTTTTGCACAATCCTGTGCTATTAAATATTTCTTGCTATTGCGCAATACTGTACAATTGATAATTTCTTGCTATTGCGCAATATTGTGCTATTGGATATTTCTTGCTATTGCGCAATACTGTGCAATTGAAGATTTCTTGCTATTGCGCAATACTGTGCAATTGAAGATTTCTTGCTATTGTGCAATACTGTGCAATTGAAAATTTCTTGCTATTGCACAATACTTATTATATAATAATTTACACATCCTGTTTGGTGTGTATCTCCTACCATATCATTATTATTTGATTTTAAATATAAATCAGAAATAACCAACTTAAAATGGAAAATTTTAAAAGAAACAAAAAAGGAAAAAAAGAAAAAAAAGGAAAAAAAAATAAATCCCCCCCCAAAATTTTTTGAACCCCCATTATGATTCATCACCCCCAAACTCAATCCCAGCCTTCCCATTGTGGTATGGTACCTTGCAGTACAATTTCAGAGAGATCCATACACTTGAACACAAGTTATTGTCTGGAAACTAGAAAAAAATGTGTTTTTTGGCCCCTTTTTGGCCCCAAATTCCTAAATGTTTAGGGCAATTACCCCCAAACTCAAACCCAGCTTTCCCTTTGTGATATGGAACCTTGTAGTACAATTTCAGAAAGATCCATACACTTACAAACAAGTTATTGTCATGAAACTAGAAAAATGCTTGTTTTTTGCCCCTTTTTTGGCCCCTAATTCCTAAAATTTGGAGGCAATTACCCCCAAAATCAATCCCAGCATTCCTTTAGTGATATGGAACCTTGTGGTACAATGTCAGAGAGATCCATACACTAACACACAAGTTATGTCTGGAAGTTACAAAAATGCTTATTTTTGGCCCCTTTTTGGCCCCTAATTCCTTTACTGTTATTACCATAACCCCCAAAATCAATCCCAACCTTCCTTTTGTGGTATTGAACCTTGTGGTAAAATTTCATAAAGATCCATTCACTTAAACTAAAGTTAGAGTGCGAAAACCAATGTGTCTTCGGACGACGCCGGACGACGCCGGACGACGACGACGACGACGCCAACGTCATACCAATATACGACCACAAAAATTTTTTTGCGGTCGTATAAAAACCACTTCAGCAGTTGTTGTGAATATCTTAAAATTTCCTGTCAACTATTGAACTTTTTGGCTGATGGAAGATCAGTCTTGTAATTAACATACAAACTGTCTAGTCACTCAGGACATGATCGATAATGGTCTATCTTTGAATCTACATTTTTTTTGTAGATTACTTATTTTGTATTTCTTTTGGTTGCTGTCTCAATCATATATGTAAAACTGTTAAAATGGTTAACATCTAACATTTAAAACTAATGTTACAACCTACCTGACACCAAAATTTATCATGGGGTTGTTGTAATAGCCAGTGTAAATCCTCAGAAATAAAGTTCAATCTATCTTTCCATTCCTCCATAGCTACTCCATTATTTACTGGTGGTGCTTGATAGGAAACAAACTGTAAATCTTCTTTCCAACGGGGATCCTGTCAAAAATACACCTCAAATTAAATACATTTTATATTGAAAAAATAATAATACATTTAATAATAATATACTAACTTCAAAATGTTGTTTGGATCTTAAATATGTAATACAATAAATTAATTATCATATTCACCATATTAAAAAAAAGCATATCTAAAATATCACCATGATCAATACGCAGAAAACATGACCATTAGTACAATTAGTATTTTGTGACTATTCCTGTTCATCTTTCGTTATTCATGGCTTATCACAGATTGTTAATTTTCAACATTTTAGCAACATGGCACAGCTCAACATATATATACTGCTAAGGAGGACGACTACATTTGAAATTCTGAATTTCCCAGTGTCTGAGGTAGCAACTGTCTCCATAGGAACTTGTCTCTGTGTAATAATATGAGGAGGAATTCCTCAATCATGTCAATAACAGTGAGAAAATCAATATTGACAATAAAAATGAAAATAAATACAACAAGAGTGCACACCATTGATTTTATGTTGATCCTAAATATAAAGCCTTACTACAAGTATCACATGAAGTTAACATGATCCAAGAAAATGAGGTCAAGGTCAGATAAACCAAACCAGAAATACATGTACACCTTAAAATCATTCCATCATGTCCATACACCAAATATAGTTGACCTATTGCTTATAGTTTCTTAGAAACAAACTTACATGTAACCAGGAAAACTTAACATTGACCAATGAACCATGAAAAAGAGGTCAAGGTCAGATGAACCATGCAAGACAGACATGTACACCTTACAATCAATCTATGCATTAAATATAGTTGACAAATTGCTTATAGTATCTAAGAAACAAACTTAACCATGAAAACTTAATATTGACCAATGAACCATGAAAATAAGGTCAAGTTCAGATGATACCTGACAGACAGACATATACACCTTACAATCATTCCATACACCAAATATAGTTGACCTATTGCGTATAGTATTTGAAAAAAAGACCAAAACACAAAAACTTCACTTTAACCACTGAACCAAGAAAATGAGGTCAAGGTCAGATGACACCTGCCAGTTGGACATGTACACCTTACAATCATTCCATACGCCAAATATGGTAGACCTATTGCTTATAGTATCTGAGATATGGACTTGACCATGAAAACTTAACCTTGTTCACTGATCCATGGAATGAGGTCAGATGAAAACTGTCTGACAGGCACGAGAACCTTGCAAGGTACGCACATACTAAATATAGCTACCTATTACTCATAATAAGAGAGAAATTAACATTAAAAAATCAACTTTTTTTTCAAATTGTCACTGAACCATGGAAATGAGGTCAAGGACAATGGACATATGATAGACCGAAACTTCATAACATAAGGCATCTATATATACAAAGTATGAAGCAACCAGGTCTTCCACCTTCTAAAATATCAAGCTTAAAAGTAGTTAGTTAATGCCGCCGCCAGATCACATACCCTATGTCGAGCTTTTTCTGCGACAGAAGTCGCAGGCTAGATACATATTTGAATTTGGATTGTGATTAAATATTTGACATATCATAAATTTCTGACACAGAATGAATGTGGTCTTTCAGAACTTATAAATTTGATATCGGACATTTACCTATTATGGTCCTATATACAAAATCTAAATACATGGTTAAATTCAGCATATCAAAGAACCCCAAGAATTAAATTTTCGAAGAAATTTACCCAAAAAACTTAATTTTGGACCCTTTGAACCTCAATATAGACCAATTTGATAATGGGACCCAAAATCCAAAATCTAAATACACGGTTAGATTCAGCATATCAAAGAAACCCATATATTCAATTTTTATTGAAATCAAACAAAGTTTAATTTTGGACCAACTTGAAAACTGGGCCAAAAAATAAAAAATCTACATACCATGTTTAGACTCAGCACATTTAAGAACCCCAAGAATTCAATTTTTGATGAAATCAAACAAAAAATTTAATTTTGAACCCTTTGGACCTCAATTTGGACAATTTGATAACGGGACCCAACATCCAAAATCTAAATACACAGTTAGATTCAACATATCAAAGAACCCCATATATTCAATTTTTGTTGAAATAAAAAAAAAAATATTTTGGACCCCAATTTGGACCAACTTGAAAACTGTGCCCAAAATCAAAAATCTATTTATATGCTTAGATTCAGCATATCAAAGAACCCCAAGAATTCATTTTTTGTTAAAATCAAACAAAGTTTTATTTTGGACCCTTTGGACCTTAATTTGGACCAATTTGAAAACCTGGCCCAAAATTCAAAATCTAAATACACGGTAAGAGACAGTATATTATATAAAAGAACCCCAAGAATTAATTTTTTGTTGAAATCAAACAAAATTCAATTTTGAACCATTTTGACCTTAATGGTTTGTGGCATAACCCCCAATATCAATCCCAACCTTCCTTTTATAGTATGGAACCTTGTGATACAATTTCATAGAGATCTATACACTTACACATAAATTATTGTCCTGAAACAAGAAAAATACTTGTTTTTGGTCCCTAATTCCTAATCAGTTAGGACAATAACCCCCAAAATCAATCCCAACCTTTATTTTGTGGTATGGAACCTTGTGGTACAAATTCATAGAGATCCATACGCTTATACTCAAGTTATTGTCTGGAAACCATATGTCTTCGGATGACGACATTGCCATATCATTATATGGCTGCAAATTTTTGCAGTCGTATATAAGTTACTATATCAGTGATTACGAGTCATGATCTTATTCACCATGTTCACATATCATTTTATAGCAAAAAAAAATTCAGCACCAAATTTTTTTTAACATGTAATATCATCTAATATTTTATGCATAACATTCATGTATAAAGAAATAAATTTGGAAGGTGTATGATAAAAAATTTGCAATTTATACACTGTCCATACTACAATGTACTAGGGACTATATTTGCAGGCAATGAAAATCAAAGGACAATAAATGTGTCCTCAGATCAAGTATTTTCATTGTTTTACGGTCAAAGTTATCATGGTTATCCTTCCCTAATCCCTAGCACTGTAGATCACCCCTTGTTTCCTGTGGGGTTCCTGTTGCTCAGTCTTTAGTTTTTTATGTTGTGTTTTGTGTACTGTTGTTTGTCTTTTGGTCTTTTTTTCTTTTGCCTTGGCATTCATGATTCAGTTTATTTTTGACTTGTGAGTTTAACATGTTTAACATGTTTAAAGGTCACTTTGGTCATGTTGGTATCTTTTGCCTCTCTTATCATATTTTAAATAAATAATACTGTTAATACAATAAAAAACAATACATGAATATAGAGTTTTGTTTACATTGAAAATGATGTTGTTATTAAATTTGATAAAGTTAATTGTGGTTTAGGTTCAGCCCTAAGTCATGAAGCCAATATTGTGGGGTAGGTCTGATTCTTTTTTATTGAATGATAATTTTTTTGTATTTTCTAATGCCATAATTTGGAAAATCTAAAAATAATTGATGGTCTTATAATACATTTTATAGTCATGACAGATAGTAACATAAACAGAGGGGTTGAAGGATATAACATGTTTAATAATTAGGTTGAACATGTTCTATAAAGGTATAAACGATACATTACCAAAAGTGACACATTTTCTTTCCGTCCTTTATTTTCAACAATGACATTCTGTTTGTCTAATGGGATATTAAAATCCATCTTGCACTGCAGACTGCAACTTTCTCTTTTAAGCAGGAAAGTAAAGAACAAATTTTATGTTATATATGGGCAACACAAATATTAAAGTATCTTAATTAAAAAATAACATCAGCATTATCGAAACTTTAATTTCAAATATCATATAAACTTGGCCACACAATTAATACTATACATCCTCTTTTTCACAGCATCTGATGAATTTAAAAGTAAACATTTCTAAAATGAACACTTTATCATTCTAAAAGGAGATTGAAGAGCCCCAAAACGAATGGCTGAAATTAGCAAAGCGGAGTATTTAAAACGCTATTTATCTGGTCCAGAGGAAAATGAAAAGAAAAAGAAAAGGAGAAAAGTTGTAAAACCGATTTCAAAACATACAAGGTGCATGTCATCAATATGAGGTTGATGTAACCTTTGAAAGATACAAAGTTCATGATCATAACTAATGACTATTTTATTTAAAAAATTTAAACTATACAGTAAGAGGTATCAGGTCGTTGCGGCCCCAAACCGATTGTCGACTCTTCCTGATCTTCGCGTTTTATAAAATTTATTTTATATTTGAAAATAACCATGTTAATAATATAAGCAGCAAATTGCGGAACTCGCTAGAATTTTACTATCGTTTCAAGAAAATCTGGTATAGTAAGAAACAGATAGGGTATTCTTCATGTTCAAAGCAGTCACTGTAATTACTCATATGCCTGGAGCTTCCGGGGGATTCGCTTCCCTGGACCACCGTCTAGGGTGCTGCCCTTGATCCCCAACTAGGGTGCTACCCTGGACCAGCTGGAGACTTTGAGCGGTCCATAGCCCCCTCCCATGACGAATCACTATAAAGTCCACAAGTATTCACAAAATAGGAGTTTGAGCGTGAAGGAGTGATGTGAATTTCATAAGCATGGCATACCTAGAAAAATTCCCGAAAAAAATTATCATTTTCTGCATAAAATGGTCCAAAAAAAATTTTCAAAGACAAAGATCGTAATGATTGCACGTTATTTTAGTCCAGCTACGCCCCTGACAGCATAGTGTATTGCACAAAAGCAAAAAAATTGAATATCAATTCAAATCATATAACCAATTCTAAGTTCTTTGACTACAGTTATTCTGTGTCAGAAACCTATTTTGTGTCAAATATTGAATTACAATCCAAATTCAGACCTGTATCAAGTGCGAATATTGTGTCCATTTTTGCCCCAACTGTTCAGGGTTGGACTTCTGCGGCCGTATCCAAATGCGCTTGGCGAAGCAATTTATTATCTCTTTTTGTTCCAGAGAAATGTGTTTTAATCTAAAAAGTAATTTTGCACTTGTTTTACATAAACTCAAGTATGTATTGAGTAATTTACTTCAAACTTTACACTGAAGTTATGAAAATAGCATTATTTATGTGGGTCTGTTTACCGAAATATCTGGTGTAACCCCCAAGGATAGTATTAGGTCCAATACTGTTCCTTATCTAGGCAAATGAGTGACCTGAATATTTTCAATACAGCAAGCTCAGACTTTGTGGATGACAGCATAATTTACAGAGAAATAAAAACACAAAATAATTGCCATAAATTAGGTATTTGGTCCATTCGCCCTGAGTCCATTCACCCTCGGTTCTAAGCCCTACTTTTTATGAAAACTTAATAAATATTAATGTTATTATTAAGGTTTTATAAAATTATTCAGATATGTACATGTATATGGTAAATATGAAAGAAAATAATTGCCATAAATTAGGTATTGGGTCCATTCGCCCTGATTACATGTTCGCCCTGAGTCCATTCACCCTCGGTTCGTTCGCCCTACTTTTTATGAAAACTTTATAAATAATAATATTATTATTAAGGTTTTATAAAATTTTCAGATATGTATATGGTAAATATGAAAGAAAATACATATTTCTGAAAAATCATGAAAAACAAACATAGAAATATTTAAAAATTAATGGCTTGTTTTGTAGCATCTATATTGGCTTCTTTGTTACGTATGTTTTTGTTTAGAATTACTTTTAATGACTGTTAATTGTAATTTAGAATACTGATTAGGTAAAGTTATGATATCGGGCGTATGACATTTGCGCCGATTTTATAAACTTTCAATCTTTCATTTGCACCAATTCAATAATTTCAAGTTCCATTTGCTCCTTTTTGCATTTTAGTGCTGTGCTTTTTTCATGGCGTAAAGAGGTTTTATTGTCCTTTGATATTTTAAAGGCTGTAAATAGATTTTTATATCATTTGATATTTTATTGCTATACTCAGTTATTTTAGTGGATGTAAACATAGTGCTTTTAACATTAAAATTGACTTGTTTTGCTCAAAATCCTACTGCCACCTCCCCATTGTGGGCAGGGGGCAACAGTTAAATGCATGTTTTAATTGATAATTCATAACATATGTATAACTTGCTAGCAGAAGAGGTTTATAATGATAAATAAAAATAGTTTTCACCTTTAATTTACCTGTAAAACAATCGGCGCAAATGAAAGAAATAATCGGCGCAAGTGAAAGAAAAAATTGGCGCAAATGCAAAACGCCGATGATGTCTTTGATCTCACTGATTGTTTTATTAATTGTCACAGGTGAATTAATAAGGAAAATTAAAAACATTCTTTTTTTTTAAATTAACTAGTCAGCTTGAAATGAGTGAAAACAATGATGTATGAATTGTAATACATGAAAGGGAAATTTAGTTTTCGCAGATTAATTGACCTCTTTGATCTCAAAATTCATTTTATTTAGTAATTCATGGTGCAGAAATGTAGAGTGAATGGCTGTGTGATTCTGTCCTTTTAGTATTTTTTTTTATGAAGAATATTTCACTTCAGTGCTCTTCAAAATAATAGTGGTAAGACATAATTGGTGTGTGATTAAGTTCAAGTTGGATCTTGTTATAACTGTTAATGGTTGTTTTGAAATTGTTCAAATAAAAAAATACATACAGATAACCTTGATTTTCAGTTGTTTTAATATATTAAATACACTTCAGTACAAATCAAAGAAAAATAATTATCTGGTAGCTGCATTACAACATAAATATTCGGCGAAATTTTCAACAATCTTTAACATACTTTATTCAAATATTTTATATTAAACAACAAGATAACAAAATAAGATAAAAAAAACTGGGTGAACGGACCCAGGGCGAACAGGTACTAGGGTGAAAGTGATTTACACTCAGAGTCAGATTAACTTATGACATATCACCCTGATAAATGTATCAATCTTACATCTTTCTCAACAACAAAATTACTTACAGGCATAATTACATTCTTCACAACCACATTTTTGGGATCAGTTACATCTGCAAAATATCTAGGCATCATCCAGCAATCTAATCTCAAGTGGAACACGCATATGCATATATAGACAACATTGTTTCAAATGTGAAAAAAACCCTTGGGTTTTCAAAAAACAAACTTTAAAAGTCTCAATCATTGTCAGAAATAAAATGCAGAGCATACCAGGCACTAGTAAGACCTAAACTAGAGTATAGTTGTAGTGTCTGAGACCCCCATATGAAAGACCAACAACTAAAACTTGAAAAGGTAGATACGTGCGGCTCGTTACATATAAATCAACTACAATTATACGAGTAGTGTCACTAACAAGGATAAACAAGCTAAAATGGCCTCACTAGCTGAGAGACGACTACAATTAGACTCATAACATTTTGTAAAGTGATTCACTGCCTTTAAGCCATTCCAACACATGTTCTTTAGCAAACTGTCTATAGAACAAGACAAAACCATACACAAACATACAGACATATCCAAATTCCAAGGATATTCATCCCTTGCACAATCATATAATGAAATTTTCTCCCTCAGACTATCATTGATGCATGTAGCATTCTATTGATGTCTTCAAAGATCAGCTAACTACAGCTGTTCTTGCCAGTTTCAAATAACCAAACCCAAACCAAAACATGAACAATATGTATTCTTCGGTATTGAAGCCTTGTTGAATTGACCAAAACGAAAAAGGGAAAAAGAAGACATTCTTTAAACTTCACTAATAAAATATGAGTGAATGGTGGTGTGTGGATCTGTACAATGCTGTATAGGTTTTGATCATTTCCTCCTTTGCCTTTCCAGAGTTATGGGACTCTAATGTTCAATTTTAAAAAACTAGGCAATGTTTCAAAAAAAAACAACTGCTTTTAGAAATATGTATAATATTTTTACACACTGTTCCATTCAATAACCTGTACAAAGTATTAAAGATAATCATACAATGTCTATGTCAACTCTCATTGATTTGTGGATGGGCATATTATGTCCTGGGGCAGTTATTTATTAACATATTGTAAACATGTTGCTTATTTACCAACTGTAAATTGTTACTTTTTTTTTCAGATCAACAATTATAGATGATGATGTTGATTTGAAGTCCTTACTCCCAGAAAACTTAGAAAATACACTAGATGAAGATATTGGGGAGGATGATCCAACCATTGTAGCTATTATTGACGAACGTCCAGATAATATACAACAGTTAGAAACTTATAGACATAGTGATGGTCGATGGAAGACACTTGGAAAAGGTGACGTATTAAAGTTGGTGATGTATTTAAGATGAGATGTTAACTTATTTAGCTCTTAATATTCACTCTATAACATACTTTTATTCAACCGATTACAAGAGGGTCTGGCAGCTGAGGACATTTTAGCGCAATAGTATATTCTATTTCAGTGTCAGATTTTTAACCCATTTTAGCCAAAAGTATCAAAACAGGACAGCATATAAAATATCATGTCCATTAAAATACATCACTAGCTGTCTAAAAAGTTAACTCAAATGTTTAAAGTCCATAATAGCCTTGAATTTATATCCAAGTGAACGTAGGTAATGGGCTCTTGATATACCCCCTATACAATACCTTTTATAAAATAGCGAACTGTTCCTTCTCTTTATCTTGTCTTGATTAGGGGGTACAGATTCATCAACATTTCTTATTTAATATTTATAGAATAACTAATCGAAGAATTCAAATAGAGAAAAATATTCAACAAGTGACCGAACAACACATTAATTCACGAATGCGCGTAGCGCATGAGTTAATTATCAGTATTGTTCGGTCACGAGTTGAATATTTTTCGATATTTGAATTCTTTGATTAGTTATTCTTTTTATTACATTGGAAAATGGCTTTTTTTGTGAAATTAAAGTAGAAAATGCAAGGAACTATATCGTTTTCTACGCATTCACAATTTGTTTTGATCCGACGTTATCGACGTCTTGACAACGCCTATTGTTGTATGACGTCAGAGGAGTGAAATAACCACGTTTATTTCACATGTGAAATTATCGGTTTTTATTTCACTGGGAAATTAATGTAATTCTTTGCAACCAATGTAATAAATGTTGTTATTTGTTATTTGATAATAGTATCCAGAAAAACCATCACGTATTGCACATCTATCTCCTGTTTGTTTCAACAACCTTTAATTCCATGCTCAACCAAATTGTAAATGCATATGACTTAAACATTAAGCCAGCATACATTACTGTTGTATTATGGTGAGTTTTATTATTCAACCAGCTAAGTTTTTTCGGTGAAATGGGCTATCGAAAATAAAGGTAAACAGACTAATGATGGCGCTAAGATGGGCTATTATGTCTGCGCTAAAATGTCCTCTAGATGTTGCAAGTTTTTTGTTAAAATGTCCTGCACCAGGGTCTGAATGGTGTTTCCATAATGAAGAAAATAGACAAAAAATAGAATGAAGGGCAAACAAATAAAGAATTTTAGAAAAAAATAGGCAAAATAAATGAAGAATAGAGAATAGTGGGGTGCTTAAATATAAAGAATACTAAAATATAAAGAATAGAAAAATAATGGGCCAAGAAAATAAAGAATAGAGAAAAATGGCCTAAAAATTTATTTAAGAATTGAATGCTTCTTTTTGTAAATTCATTGGGGTGTAAAAGTGTTGACCGAAGTACATTTTGTATGAAGCGCGCAAGCGTTTCATTCTAAAAATGTATGCACGGTCAACGCTTTAACAACCCTATGAAATTACTAAAAGAAGCATTCAATACTTATAATTACATTTTTTCGTTATGATAATGAAAACACAATTACTATCAAGTTTTTCTTTTATTTACCTGTGCACTTTATTGTGGAAACGTGTGTCATCATGTATATTTCAATTCATGCAATTCTTTTTGAAATGAAGAATGATGCGAGATTGCTGTTAGCCAATCAAAATAACGTATAATAATGAAACATACATCTAATGTAATTATACAGAAATGAAGACCCTCTTACAGGCTGACCAGCAATGAAACTAATTGACAACCAAAAGAACATTGTTTTTTTAATGCTGTATGAAACTGTCTGTTAATCAGGTAAACTCTACTGATGTAGGTTTTCATTCAATACTCAACATACATGCATGTTACTAAAAAATTTACAGCAACTAATAACAATCTTTTAATTGAATTTATTTATAGATGATGATTTTGACCCATCGTTATTGAAGAGTATGAAAGATGAAGACATTTTAAAAAATACAAAATCATTTTTCAAGAACAAAAGGGAAAGTGAAAATAACAAAAAATCTATTTCAAGACAATCTGATCTTCCTAGAAGAAAACGACATGATTCAGATTCAGATAATTCATTACCAAGGAAACAGAGGCATGATTCAGATTCTGACCAATCATTGCCTAGGAATCAAAGGCATGATTCAGATTCTAACCAATCGTTACCAAGGAGACAGAGGCATGATTCTGATTCAGATACATCACCACCAAGAAAGACCAAAACCTTAATAAGTAAATCTGGTTCAGAACCAAGAAAAAGATTAGATTCAGATGAATCACCTCCAAGAGGGAGAAGGAATGCTGGTCACTCACCACCAAAAAGGCAAAGACATGATTCAGGATCTGACAATTCACCACCTAGAAGGAAAAGACATGAATCAGGGTCTGACCAATCACCACCTAGAAGAAAAAGACATGAATCGGGTCCTGACAGGTCACCACCCAGAAGAAAAAGAAATGATTCAGGATCTGACCAGTCACCACCCAGAAGGAAAAGGAATGATTCAGGTTCTGACCAATCACCACCAAGAAAAAAAGATAAGATGAGTAAAACATTATCTGGTAAAAAAGCTGGATTACAAAGTGCTAAAGATATGAAAATGGAGGCAGAGAAGATGAAAAAGAAAGAAGATGATGCTTTTAAAAAGGTAGTTTCTGTGCTCCATGTATTTTATGAACAACAAAAAACAAATGTATTTGGGGATTTTCAATATTGATTTACACAAATGGGGAGCTGGAACTGCTTATCTTTCTGGAACACCTGAGTTTACCCCTGGTTTTTGTTGGATATAAAAAATAAGATGTGGTATGATTGCCAATGATACAACTGTCCAAGAGACCAAGTGAGATATGACAAACAACAACCACTCAATTACAGGTTCCTGACTTGGGACAGGCACATATAGAATGTAATGGGGTTAAACATGTGTTTAACCCTTCCCCTAACCTGGGACAGTGGTGTAACATCACAGCATAAGAACAAACTAAAAGTCCACAATCTAGTTCAGGTTTCTCAATCTTTAGTTTTCTATGTAGTATTTTTTTTACTTGTTCATCTTTTTGTTGTTTTAATTTTTGCCATGGCATTGTCCATTTTTCTGTGACTTGTGAGTTTTGAATTTCCCCTCGGTATCTTCCACCTCTTTTTAACATGTAGGTCAAAAGCCTGTGATCAAATAATAGATATGAAATGTATTTTGTTTAAATATGTCATAACCAATAGAAAATTGGCTCTACTTGGTTGGAGAATAGAGTTAACATTACTTGCTACATATTCTTCACCTATCATTCTATCTTAAAACCCTATACAGTTATTAAAAGTCAAAACAATACAATTTCTTAAAAAGGATATACTTAATAAGAAATTAACAACAACTAAGTCTTTGGACACCTCTAGTTTAAATGACAAAAGCAATAAGTAGGAAATATGAAATCTGTGGTTAGAATTAGGAAATCATATATAGATGTACGTTTGATATGGTAAATATTATAATGTGTAAAAAAGAAAATTCTGCAAAACATTGACAACTGGTCTTGTGCACCTAAACAGTATGACATCATAAGTCTGCTACCAGAGTCAAACATTGACATCAGATGTTTCAAGTTTTCTGTACGCCATTTTCTTGACACATTTGGAGGGTTAGGCAATAGCATCAGAATAAAATACATAGAAAATAAAATAGGGTTTGATCTGACAATATACATGATATAAGGATCAGTATAAATCTGGAAATGATAAAAATGAAGTTTGATGCAAACTTCCATATATAGACTTACATGTACATAATTTCAGATCAGCAATGATGCTCTAGGAAGAAATGCAGTGACAGTTTTCAGAGACAGAAAAACAGGAAAGAGAAGGAACATGGAAGATGAAGCAGAAAAAAATGCTGAACAACTTGAGAAAGAAAGAAAAATGGCAGAAAAATATGAAAGATGGGGAAAAGGGTGAGTTGAGGTGTTTAAAACACTCTGAATGGCTGAAATGTATAGCAACATGAACAAAGAGGGAAGAAAGAAAACAAAATTAGAAAATATTATTTTAGGTCCACAATCCAAAGGAAAACAGATACTGTAAATTCATAAATTATTGCAATTTAAACACAACAGACCAAAGTGTGAGAATAATTATTGTGATTATAGGAAAAGCTACATATAGTTGTCAGATTTTAGAATACAGGTTCTAAATATTGCAATACTCACCTGGTCACATTATTTGCAAAAATAAAAACCTTGCAATAATTTCTGAATTTACAATACTTAAGTTCATCCTACTATATATCAGTTTTATTTAGGCTACCATTCCAGTCAACATCTCAAATAATTCTTTGTAAGAATGCTTGATAGTTAAATAAAAATAATGACTGTTGAATTGTGACAATTGTTTTGTTCAGATAGAGTAATTTTAAACATTTTGATTGCCGAAATAAGAACAAAGGTATGCCATAGTTTTTCAGATTTTTATACGACCGCAAAAAAATTTTGTGGTCGTATATTGGTATGACGTTGGCGTCGTCGTCGTCGTCGTCGTCGTCGTCCGGCGTCGTCCGGCGTCGTCGTCCGAATACATATTGGTTTTCGCACTCTAACTTTAGTTTAAGTGAATGGATCTTTTTGAAATTTGACCATAAGGTTAAATACCACAAAAGGAAGGTTGGGATTGATTTTGGGGGTTATGGTACCAACAGTTAAGGAATTAGGGGCCAAAAAGGGGCCAAAAATGAGCATTTTCTAGTTTCCAGACAATAACTGTGGAACGGTGTATGGATCTCTCTGAAATTATACTACAAGTTTCCATACCACATAGGGATGGTTAGGATTTGCTTTGGGGGGTTATGGCTCAAACCGTTTAGGAATTAGGGGCAAAAAAGGGGGAAAAACAAGGTTGTCCTGGTTAATGGACAAATACTTTAGTACAAAACATAATTTAAAGCAGTGTAAGGGAGATAAATCAAATACATCATTGAAATTATCTCCCTTACACTGCTTTTAAATTATGTATAAAGTAATGGTTAATGAACAATAAAGATAATCTAAAACAGTGTAAGGGAGGTAATCCAAATACAACGTTTTGGTTACTTCCCTTACACTGCTTTTAAATTATGTTTAAAGAAATGCATATTTATAAAGGAAGACCAGTAAAAATATCTGCAAATGTTTTCATCTTTTTTTTTTACAAAAAAATCCATATGAAAGATTTGACACTATATTTTTATTAATTCTATTATAAAATAGATTAAGTTAGCACTATGGTAAATTTAAATGGGTAATTATGGTTGCCAACTCCATTGGAAATTTGAATTGAGATTATGACCATATCTTGAGGGAAAGAATTTTTTTGGGGGAAAAAGGGGGGGGGGGGATAAAAAGAAATTGTGGGGGGCCAATTTTTTCTCATTTCAGATTTCAGAAATTAAAAAGAATTATTCTTCAAATATTTTTTTTTTTTCAAATTTCAAATATTGAAAAATTTCAAGAAGTAATCTTTAATTGCACAGTATGGCGCATTAGATTTGTAAAATCTTTGATCACATTTATTTATTTGTTATGCCGAATCTAACAGTGTATTTAGATTTTTAATTTTGGGTCCAGTTTTCAAATTGGTCTACATTAATGTCCAAAGGGTCCAAAATTAAACTTTGTTTGATTTTAGCAAAAATTGAATATATGAGGTTCTTTGATATGCTGAATCTAAACATGTATTTAGATTTTTGATTTTTGGCCCAGTTTTCAAGTTGGTCCAAATTGGGGTCCAAAATTAAACTTTGTTTGATTTCAACAAAAATTGAATATATGGGGTTCTTTGATTTGCTGAATCTAACCATGTATTTAGATTTTTTATTTGTGGACCCCGTTATCTAATTGGTTCATATTGAGGTAAAAAGGGTCCAAAATTAAACTTTGTTTGATTTCATCTAAAATTGAATTATTGGGGTTCTTTGATATTCCAAATCTAACCGTGTATTTAGGTTTTTAAATTTGGGTCCTGTTTTTTAAATTGGTCTACATTTAGGTCCAAAGGGTCCAAAATTAAACTTAGTTTGATTTTGACAAAAATTGAATTCTTGGGGTTCTTTGATTTGCTGAATCTAAACATGTGTTTAGATTTTTGATTATGGGCCCAGTTTTCAAGTTGGTCTAAGATAGGGTCCAGTATTTAAACTTTGTTTGATTTCAACAAAAATTGAATATATGGGGTTCTTTGATATGCTGAATCTAAACATGTATTTAGATTTTTGATTATGGGCCCAGTTTTCAAGTTGGTCCAAATTGGGGTCCAAAATTAAACCTTGTTTGATTTCAACAAAAATTGAATATATGAGGTTCTTTGATATGCTGAATCTAACCATGTATTTAGATTTTTTATTTGTAGGCCCCGCTATCAAATTGGTTCATATTGAGGTCAAAAGGGTCCAAAATTAAACTTTGTTTGATTTCATCGAAAATTGAATTATTGGGGTTCTTTGATATGCCAAATCTAACCGTGTTTTTAGATTTTTAATTTGGGTCCCGTTTTTTAAATTGGTCTTCATTGAGGTCCAAAGGGTCCAAAATTAAACTTAGTTTGATTTTAACAAAAATTGAATTCTTGGGGTTCTTTGATATGCTGAATCTAAACATGTGTTTAGATTTTTGATTATGGGCCCAGTTTTCAAGTTGGTCCAAGTTGGGGTCCAAAATTAAACTTTTTTTGATTTCAACAAAAATTGAATATATGGGGTTCTTTGATATGCTGAATCTAACCATGAATTTAGATTTTTTATTTGTGGGCCCTGCTATCAAATTGGTTCATATTGAGGTCAAAAGGGTCCAAAATTAAACTGTGTTTGATTTCATCAAAAATTGAATTATTGGGGTTCTTTGATATTCCAAATCTAACCGTGTATTTAGATTTTTAATTTTAAGTCCCGTTTTTTAAATTGGTCTACATTAAGGTCCAAAGGGTCCAAAATTATACTTAGTTTGATTTTAGCAAAAATTGAATTATTGGGGTTCTTTGATATGCTGAATCTAAACATGTGTTTAGATTTTTGATTATGGGCCCAGTTTTCAAGTTTGTCCAAGTTGGGGTCCAAAATTAAACTTTGTTTGATTTTAACAAAAATTGAATATATGGGGTTCTTTGATATGCTGAATCTAACCATGTATTTTGATTTTGGACATTGGACCATAATAGGTAAATTAAAAAAATTCAAGTTCTTAGACCACATTCTTTCTGTGTCAGAAACCTATGCTGTGTCAAATATTTAATAACAATCCAAATTCAGAGCTGTATCAAGCTTGAATGTTGTGTCCATACTTGCCCCAACTGTTCAGGGTTCGACCTCTGCGGTCGTATCAAGCTGCGCCCCAGCGAAGCATTTTATTTTAAGGTGAGTTGGGAAAGCGATTCTTATCAAAATTTGAAATTAGTAATGCTTTCTTTTTTCTGAAACTATATACTCATACTTGGCAGTATTAGATTTGTGACATTCATGACTTTACAACTAAGAATTTCTCTTTGATTGTTGTCCCCCCCCCCTAATTTGATGGAAATTATTGGCTAATTCTCTGAATATTTTTCTGAATCTCACTTTCAAAAATTCCTAATCTTGTGATTCCTGAAACATAAAAGATTAAATGCTGATTATCCAGCAAAAATCAATGTTGGTTATAGATTCATGGACATACATTTTTTCATTCAATTATATGAACCATGAAAATGTTAACAGTAAATTGTGGTTCATGTACTATTTCATGTGTATTTTACATTGTGCTGTACATGTATATGAATAGAATTTCATGTTGTGGTATACTAAGTAAATTTGTTGTGTTACTCTCTGTGTTTACACTCCAATCTAACAGTAAATTACAACGGGAAATTGCATTCATAAATAACTCAATTTCATACAAATTTTTATTTGTAAATAACATTTTTATCTTATCTGAAAGGACATAGTCAGTTTGAATCAAACTTTGCATTAATAATGTAATGTCCATCTGTCCGTCGTCAACATGTCGGGCAATAAGAATAACTCAGAAACATTTTAACCAATTTTTATGAAACTTTGGTGAATTGTTTATATCTCTTGACATAAGCTCCCTTTCAATTTTTATAAATTTTAGATTTTACGATTCCGAGTTATGGGATTTAATTCATAAAAAAACTGAATCTCAAAAGTCGTAACCAGCTGGTCTTAACAATGAAATTGAAAGTGTGAGTGTTTTCATGAATTAAATTTGGTTCAGATATATTTCAAAATTTTATGCATCTATGAGCAAATATTTACAACTTTATCTGCATAAAAATTGTGATAGTTTGAAGAGAGATAAGTTTTAAATCCTTGCCTCATCCTGTTGTACACTTATTTTCTTTTCAGTAAACTGCAACTTCCAATATTGAATTTATCTTTGGGTTAAATATTAAACATGTTTTCTATAGCCTTTTGTCTTATATGAATATATTACATATGGTGTAGCATTCTCCTGTTTTCATTGGATATAATGATCACGTGTTTCAAAGGTTATTTTATGTATCCGAAGCCTTGTTTCTATTTTTAAGTATGTTGACGCTATGTTTCTATTTATATGTATATTGACGGTCAATATAAAAAATCTTGCTAAATTTACATTTATGGCGTCGTGACTTTACACGTAACAACCATAGAGGAAGTGCCGCAGCAGACAAAAAGAAATTTGCAAGTTTATCAAAAGGAGATATCAAGAATTTTATGTTAAATGCAGACACTGAGAATACAAGAAAGCTAAGACAACAAGCTATGAAGTTGTTCAAAGAATATTGATATTTTCAATAACATGTTAAAATTTTTGCAAAATACAATTTAAAAATACACAGAAAGAACATTAAACATGTTAAATGTCATTTTCCTAATACATTATTTACATATGTAATATAAAAATTAAGGACTTTCACTCAGTCAATACGTTATATATGAACAAGTCCATATATAATGTATTGACCTCGTCAAAAGTCCATAATTGATAAATATTTAATGCAGAATGAAACAGCAAGAACACCAACAGAGAAATGTAGAAGAACATCTACATGAAGTGTCTAAACCTATGGCTAGATTTAAAGATGATGATGATTTAGATAAACATCTAAAGGAGATAACCAGGGCAGATGATCCTATGCTTAAATTCTTAAAGAAAAAGAAATCAAAAGATGTCAAGAAAAAAGGTTTGATATATCAATTTTGTTCTCTTCAGTTATAAAAATGAAAACAATACTGTTCAAAGTGCTTTTCTGGATTTACCCTCATCAGGAACGCTCAAAGTCGAATATTTGAAATATTTTATAAGCTTATATATATGCGTACACAATATTTAGGAAAGGATTTAATTATAGAACTCAAATGGGCTCAACTATGTGGTAATGGTGTCAATTATAGCATGTGACCACTTTGACTGTCATGTGTTAAGGACTGTTACTCATCCTACATTTAGTCTTGAGCAGGGTAAAATTCAAACATTGTAGGATTGAAATAGCTTGGAATCTAAGCTTCTTGTAATTAGGGATTAATCACAGACTGACCTACTAAGATTTAGATTAATGTGCCTTGTTTAAATGTCTTTCTGAGATCTATTATCTTGTAAATCATTATGTTAAAAGATTTGTATTTGTCTCAGTCTAGTAAATGGCAGCATTTATATTTTAAATAATTAATACCTTCTCATCCTAAATATCGCTTTAGATAACCTGCTGAATGTTATCTATGTGACCTTCTGTAGAATTTAACTGTGTGTAAGATGTTCAGTTAGACTGTTATTTGAGAGTGCTTTTTATTGTCCCCGAGCAACTCGTTGCATGGGACATAGAAATATGGGGCGTCCATCCGGTCTTGTTAGAGCTCTCACCTGTACAATTCTTGTCAGATTTTTATGAAACTTATATCAGAAATGTCTTTGACAAGTTCCAAAATCAGTGCCGATCATTTATTTGTAAAAGAGTTATGTCCCTTGGAAACATTAATTATATGGAAAATTGCATCGTTAGCACTCTCATTTGTACAATTCTTGCCAGATTTTTATGAAGCTTTTAGGGGCCTCGGTGGCCAAGTGGTCTAAGTAGTTCTACTACTGTAATCACTAGCCAGTCAACACTGAGGTTGTGAGTTCGAACCCCGCTCGTGCGGGTGCACTCGACTCCAATCTTAATTGACTAGGATTGTCAGTTTTCCTATCGAAGGTCGGTGGTTTTCTCCGGGCACTCCGGCTTCCTCCACCAATAAAAACTGGCCGCCACGAAATAGCCCAAAAGTGGCGCTTAAAAGTGGCATTAAAACACCAACATCAATGAAGCTTTTATATATCATGGGTTTTTAATAGGCAATGTCTTGGACGAGTTTGAAAATCAGTGCCAATCAATTATTTTTAAAAGAGTTATGGCCCTTGGAAATATTAATTATATCGAAAATTGCATAGTTAGCGCTCTCATGTGTTCAATTCTTGCCCGATTTTTATTAAACTATTATCATAGATATAAATCAGCAATGTCTTGGACGAAAATCAGTGCAGATCAATTATTTTTAAAAGTTATGTCCCTTGGAAACACTAAATATATGGAAAATTGCATTGTTAGCACTTTCATGTGTACAATTATTGCCAGAATTTTATGAAACTTATATCATAGGTTTATATCAGCAATGTCTTTGACACTTTCAAAAATAAATGCTGATCAAATAATTTTTAAGAGTTATGCCCTTGGAAATATTGATTATAATGGAAATCACATTGCATTTGCTCTGAAGCCTTCATTTCTCGAAGATATTATTAAAAAAAAATTTAAAGAACAAAACAAGTGCTTTTTTTAGTTATTGCCCTTGTGCCTTGGATAGATAAAATATGTGCAATGCAGGGGACATTGGAACTCTGTTCTTTTATGACTTTTATACCACCTGCAAAAAAAAAGCTTTTTGAGGGATCACTCTGTCTTTCTTCTTGTCTGTCCTTATTCGCACAACTCCTCCAAAACAAGTGGGCGGTTATTGATGAAACTTTACACAGTTGTAGAACACTACCTGGGGATAAGCATAAAGGAATATAATTCAGGTCAAACATGTTTAAGGGGAGATAATGGAATTTGAAGGTTGGGGTTACCCATTTTAGGTTTAACTTACAATTATAGATGTCATGAATTTATTATACACCACAGCACAACAACACATTTGCATAGTAGCAGCAACACCAAATGCTTATGTGAAATCCATACATTCATTTCTAAAAATTAAAGAAGAAAAAAAGTTGTATTTTTTTATTTTAATCTTTTTTGAACATTACTGTGAAATAATCATGCTTAATTAAACATTACCTGTTCAAAATAGACATTACTTAATCATTGTTTAAAGCATTCAGCTTAAAGTTGTAAATAGAAATAGAATTTCCAGGTGTATTTACAGAAAAGGATGAAAGGACCCCTACAACCCATCAAATAAGATTGTGATCATAACCACATTTTAATCGTTTGTGGAACAGCCATGATAGAATGTTTACTTTGTGGAACAGCTGTAATAGAATGTTTACTTTGAGGAACAGCCATAATAGAATGTTTACTTTGTTGAACAGATAATAGAATGTTTACTTTGTGGATCAGCTATAATAGAATGTTTACCTACAAATTAAATTATTATTAATTTTCAAAGTGTTAATGACCAGAAGAGATTTTAATATGATATTTTATTTTCAGAATTACCCAAGTATAAAGGACCACCTCCACCTCCGAACAGATTTAATATGATGCCAGGCTACAGATGGGATGGTGTTGACAGATCTAATGGCTTTGAGGCTAAATACTTTGCCAGCATATCCAATAAGAAAGCCATAACAGAGGATGCTTATAAATGGAGTGTTGAGGATATGTAGTGGAATGAAGTGTTGATTTACGTTGGAAGAGGCAGCTAATGTGTTTGTTATGTCGATGGCAGCTGTGTAATGAAGAAAATGGTTGCTGGTTGAAGGGTATATTGATAGAAAGGTTCAAGTGTTAATGGATTGTATCAGTCAGGGTGACAAAGTAGTAGTGTGGACAATTAACCTTTCAAGTTCAGGACTTTATGAAACAGTCCCTTTATTTGTCAGATGTTTTTGACAGTATCAGGTTATTGCTTAGAATTGTATTGCTATGCTAATTAATCCCAATATAGTTTCAATTATGAGGCAACCACAACAAGATATACTAACTGGATGTTTGTTACAGAAACAACATATTTAATCACATCTTAAATTTGATTGTGAAATAACTTGTGTATTTTTTTCCTATGAATTATACATGTATATTTTGAATGATGTATGGCAAACATATATTCTACTATCCTATGGTGTTATAAGTTCACCACAACAAACTAGAGGAAGAAATACTGGACTTTATATCCCCAATGTCAATTTTTTGTGTGGATCTTATGTATGATAATATACCAAAGATCTGAAAAAGCTTTAGATATCTTTATTATCAAGGCTGTCCCAGGGTGAAATTTAAAGGGAAAATTCGCGATTTTTTACTTATCATCTTATTATGTTCATAATACCATAAAAAACATATTCACCAAGTTTTATCTGGATATGAAAACTAATAAAGAAGAAAATTGGGAATTATTAATTCTATTTATTCGAACTTCCTGACTTCTGTGACGTAGTTTAAGTCTTTTTGCATGCCGGGAGTGGAATTAATCTCATTTAAGTCTTGTTCGTTAATCATCTAATAACGCGATTTAAAGTGCATCGACGAATTTTGGCGTAGCTATTAACCAACTAATAATTAAGAAAGTAAAGTGATCAGCCGTGCAACTTTTAAAAATAAAATGTACGATTTATATTTTAAGAATTTCTGATATGATTATAGTCATTATAGTAATAAAAGTAAATCATACAATAGAATATTTTTATGAATTTTTTTCCGACGGATATTTTAAACAAACATATAACTGATAGTGTATTAAAAATGCATGTTTGTATTCTCACCTTTTACTTCAGTCTAGCAAACATTTCCCGCTAGTACTGTGGTTAAATTCAAGGTATTTAAAGGTTTGCATTCTGTTATTCTAATCTTTTGATCTTCACTCAGTGAATTTTAGCCGTCACGGTTCACCGTTCCAGGTGTGAATATCATTTCGCATGAATGATAAACGGGAGTGATAGTTTGAGACAGAAAATAAAAAAAGAAATATAATTATTTTGGGGGAGTATTATGGTGGCACAATAACTGAATAAACGTGGTATATTTTTATATTTTCCGTAAGCTCAGTTTAAAATGAATTATGACTGCCTAATATTTTTGTAACAATGAAATACTGAATTAATTTAATTGAATAAATAATAATGGCATTCTAAACACGAGTGTATGAACTAAAAATTGTACTATTTTAAATTAGAATCGGTAACCTTGAATATTTGAAATACTCTAAGATAATTACCAATTGCAATTATATAATTTGGTCCGTCCAAAGCGATCTTTATTTACATATTCAGGAATTAATGTCCTAATCAAAATATTTTAAATCTCACAACGTATAAATACTTCAGCCATTTGAAGAAAGATGTTTAAAAAATTGACAGGAAATTTAAGGTCAACTTTGTCTTATTGGAATGAGATCGAATAATTACGAACAAAAAATATTTTCCGGTTTGAAAAACATAAAAAAAAATGATAAAAGAGAAATGTGGGTTTGAGACAGAAAAAATAATTATTTGGGGAGGAATATGGTGGCAAAATACCTGAATCGCCATTATATATATTTTTTTATATTTTGCGTTAGCTCAGTTTTTAAATAGATGGGTGAGTCTTTTGTTGTAACATCGGAATTCTGAATAACTTTCAATGAGATAATTTTATAAATAAAAATGGCCCACGAAAACGAGCATATAAACCAAAAACTGTGCTATTTTGAATTATCATCGATAACTTTGAATATTTAAATGTGCAGAGAAAATTATCAGTTACATTAATATAGTTTGGTCTGTCCAAAGCGATCTACATTTACCTAATCGGGAATGTCCTTATAAAAATATTCTACATCTCACAACAAATACTTTAGCTATTTGACCAACGATGTTTAAAAAAAATTTACAGAATCAATCTAACGTCAACTTTCCTTTATTGAACGGAGACAGACCGGCGGAATCAATTTTCAATGTGCTTTATATCTTGTACCTTTGCAAGACTTATCATTCATTCATAAACCATGTCTATACCGCAGACATATTTATACATATAATTATATGTCTGTCTTAACTGACAAGAATACTCCTGGTTTTACACTAGTAATTTGTTGGGGCCCTTTATAGCTTGCTGTTCGGTGTGAGCTAAGGCTCCGTGTTGAAGACCGTACTTTGACCTATAATGGTTTACTTTTATAAATTGTGACTTGGATGGAGAGTTGTCTCATTTGCACTCATACCACATCTTCTTATATCTTTAAGCAGTATATTCTTTAAATTTCTGTGATTTAATACCAAGAAAGAAAAAAATCCCGAAATTAATTTGATACTTTGATACTCAATATTTTTCCTGGAAAATATTCACATCCTCATTCGGTCTGAAAATAAGATAAGAAACTGGTATACAGAACATGCAGAAGTGTGAATGTCATAAAACCTTGTTATATCAGAAACCATTATAAATGTGAACCTGTATACGTAAGACCTCATGGGACGTCACCTAACCACATACAGGTAATATACAAGTAGCTCTGTTATACTCGGAAATGTCAAGGTTAATCACTACCGATACAGAATGTACCAATGAAAAGTAAATTCTGATGATTGTGAAGCATGACCATACATGATTTTAGAGGAGTCTTAGGTGGGGGATTGCTGGAACGATTTAAATTCTGATTAGATTTTTTCTCAATTTAAATCACTGAACTAAAAAAAAAAAGAAGAAGAAAACAAGAAAACTACGTCCAAGAACAGAATTCTTCTTGTAAATTCATAAATACCAACGTTCTTATTTTGTAACTTTCGATAGACTTGACCTCCACCTTCCCCCCTCAAACCTGGGAACATTATATCTAACAATGTTTATGTTCCTGCCCAAATAAAAAAAAGAAATGATGAACCACTAGAGATGAACGGTAAGTCACATCAGATTCAGATATTTATATAGTTGATTGTCGCTAACTAGAGATGTATAGTTACATGTCTCTGCGTTAACTGATAAGAATAACAGGAAAGTATAAACTTGAAATAGATTTATGATGAATAATATACAATTGCGGCACCCCTTTTTATCAAAGCGTACATGCATGTATTTTAATGACTGTCCGTTATTTCGATTATAATGACAATTGTTCGTGAAATCCTATAGTTGGTGAGACTTTTTTTTTACCAGATATGCGACTTTTCGTATTTATATTTTCTCTTATATTACTCATTTTATGCATAAGTGCAATATTGGGAATGCCGGGTTTATTCCCCCACAAGCTAACGTAATAAATTAATCAACCCTCAAGCTGATCAGACGTTAATACAACTACTATCAGTCTATCCAGAGTGATGTTCTTTATTTCTTCAAATAAACTTTTTGGGGATGATTAGTGTACGTCCAGTGGCATATATATTACATGCATGTCGGAACAGGAAAATTGGCATAAGGTTCTATTAGAGCCATGTTCACATTAATATACATTATACCCAACAATTGTGATGATGACGAATTTCTTCAACTGTTCGAGAACAATCTAATTGAAATATAAATCTGTGATTTTGCTATATCCATAACTTCGATGAACCAAAGCAAGTTAGATATCGACCTGTATTTAAATCAAATTTGTTCTGGATGTTCTTTCTTATATTCAATATACAATTTTAAATTGAGACTATCTATAGTTCCGTAACTTTCTATCTAGGCGTATAAACCAATGATCGACAAGTGCGTACATTTTTGTTAAATCAATAGTCTTTCATGTTTCAAAATGTCCATCATTATTGACAACGAGTATATACTTACATTTTCCCAAATTTACCCTTGGAAAAAATATGTAAATAGATTTTTATTTTATCAAATCTTTTTTTGGAATTATTTATATCACTATCGGACACGCAAGACAGAGATGTATATTATACACCTGATAGTTTCAAAATGGAAAGTTACAAGTTATCGGCTGTGTACACTGATCAATACCCTCAGAAGTGAAGCGATGCATGAACATGCTTTATGTAATTGTGTTATAAGAGTTTTTACTCCCGACATGAAATCGCTTGAATACCTGGACGTGTCACCTCACAATACCTCAGGGATTAATTCCTTTAGCCATGTTGGTGATCAGATAAGAGAAGGTCCGAATTTATTTAAATAAGTTTATTACATAAAAGAATTATGAACACATTAAATTTTCGAAAACAATTTTACACGGAACACTTATTAATGACTTTGAACTTTGACTTTTTAACTAATTCCATATAAATTTCTTGTTTCAAAAACTTCGTAAAGAAAAAACAGTATAAAAACGACAGACTATAGTTATTTAAAAAAATAATTACATTTTCCGTATCAAGTTAGTTAGTCGGATAAATGCGACTACGTTAGGTTACTGCTGGTTTTGGTCCTTTGTGGTTTATAGATATATCGTGGTTTCTAAACCGAGAAGATGTCAAAATGGCCGCACGCAGAGAATTGATACTCTAAATTGAAAATCGATGGTGATCTCTTATCTAGCAGAATAAAACTTTAATATTTATGAATTTATGCTTTTTTATACAGAATGGACATAATATCATTTTTTTATTTTTTTGCGAAGTTTCCCTTTAATGAATATGGCAGACGTTTAACTACATCTTATTTTTTAGATCCTAATAGCTTCCAAGGGTGGGGATTTCCCCATTTGTTGACTTTTTTTGCACTTTTATATAAACCTGATAACAGCCCTGAATATCCAACTTTATTGAAATATTATACAAACATTAATGTATAACAAAGCTTTATTAATGATGTGATTTATGTCCCTATGACTCAGTGATCAGGACATAAAGTGTTATCCACATCTTCATATCATTCTAATCCATTTAGACTTTTTAGCTCACCTGACCTGAAAGGTCAAGTGAGCTTTTCTCATCACTTGGCGTCCGTCGTCCGTAGTCCGTAAACTTTTACAAAAATCTTCTCCTCTGAAACTACTGGGCCAAATTTGACCAAACTTAGCCACAATCATCATTGGGGTATCTAGTTTAAAAAATGTGTCCGGTGACCCGGCCAACCAACCAAGATGGCCGCCATGGCTAAAAATAGAACATAGGGGTAAAATGTAGATTTTGGCTTATATCTCTGAAACCAAAGCATTTAGAGCAAATCTGACATGGGATAAAATTGTTTATCAGATCAAGATCTATCTGCCCTGAAATTTTCAGATGAATCAGACAACCCGTTGTTGGGTTGCTGCCCCTGAATTGGTCATTTTAAGGAAATTTTGCCGTTTTTGGTTATTATCTTGAACATTATTATAGATAGAGATAAACTGTAAACAGCAATAATGTTCA